AATCTACGGGCTGAATACCTAGAAATTGGACAAAATGGACAATAATGCTAACCAGGAAGACCATTCATCTGGCTTTTTTCATATTTTTTTATTTTTTTCGCTCGTCTTACCCACTGGTGAGATCTGGCTGTCAGAGGCTGCTAACCTGTGCATTCATGAACGCTTATAGACAAAAAGCTTGCCAATGTCTTCAGTTACTGCATTCCTCCTGCAATGTTCCAAGAAAAGTATATGATGCCCAAGAAATATCCCATAATGACTGGCGTAAGTGACCACTATAACTTCATGAGAGCAGCAAAGCAAATAAAATGGACAAAATGCAAAATTGGCATGTTCCCCCTAAGCAAACTGAAAAAGGAACAGAGAAATGTACCCCACTATGGTGAGCTACATGCTTGATGTCTTTATTTGTACTATTAATTCCTTGAGGGCATAGACAGACTGAGTCAATAAGCAGCAATGTATAAAAAGGTGGAAGAAATTGGATCAATTGAGTAGGAAAGATGTAGGGGAAAAAAAGATCCGTCATTGTGGAACGATGCAAAAACTTTTATAAACAGAATCGATGAGATCTGAAGATCAGACACCTACACTATTCAATCCACGTAATCAATGATGCCATCTCTTATATGAACATCAGTTTCAAGTTCCTCAGCTAAAAACAGTGCATCAACTAATCCAGTGTGTGTCAAGATTTGAGTATTTAAAAACCTGGTCAGACACTGAAGCAAGCCTGTGTCTAACCGAGTCACACAACCGCGGTATAAATAGCAAGCATCTTGTCACTAACTGGTGGAATTATCCATCATTTCGATGTGAACCAAGTATGTCTTTTACACTCAAAAACCGCTTTCATCATGGCAGACAAGCCCTGCCCAGCTCGAAATTGTAGAGTGATATAATTAATTTCATCAGCTAAATGAGATCTTGATTTTGCAGGTATCTTCTTAAAAAAATGTAGAAAAAGTAAAAAACAAATGATCATAGTTGAGGATGAATTAGTTCGCCTCCCTTTACATTTGAGGTTACATTTGGGACTGAAGGGACCCCTTTATGATGCTTAATCTGCTGAAGTTGAGGAACCCTTGAGGAGTGATCACTGTCATTAGTTTAAGAAGATACCTGCAAACTGAGGTAGATTTGGGGATTTGGAAAGAAGGGGAGGAGAACAGTAGCGAGGCATCTGGGAGCTAAACGGATGTAGATGGAATATGGGAAGTAATTCCTGACTGCACATGCGTTGAGGCTACAGGACTCCTGCAAGATTATGTGAAGGGAGAAAAAAGGAAAAAAAGGAGGAAAAAAATGTGAGCGGGAATGAACCATAAACTATTTCATGCAATTAGGAAAAGAACAAACAGCGCATATAAGAAAGACTTTGGCATTCTAACTCATTCTTCAATGACGACTGGAGAACTGAAGTAATGAAAGGGATTGAAAGAAGGAAACTAAGCTATTCACAGAAAAAATACGCTGGAAAGGAAAATTCCGACGGAAACATGATGCTCCCAGCAATCTTTCCCTCGTATGGGCATGTGGCTGTGCGTGCGTACCCGACGGGGGAGGGGATGGCATGGGAATGCGTTTTAATAGTATTCGTGAAGGAGGGTGAGGAACCCTCTTTGTCTCGGAGAGCTCGTACACGAGACAAGACGGCTCAGAGTCTAACGGCCTAACAGCACCAAGCGGATCTGGCCGTTAGGATACGGTCTAACAGCCAGCTCCGCTGGGTGCGGAATCTGACTCCGCCCAACGGCCTGATTCGGGACAGCTGCCGGCTCCTTCCTGTCCTGCCACGTCGCTCTCCGTCCCTTGGCCAGCTTCTGCTCCTTGTGTCCACAGAGAGCGGCTCGGTTGGCACGCTTTCCACATGGTTTCTTTTCTCCGTGGACACTAGTGCTTCAACAGAGGGGTACGCCGTTTCTTGGTCTCGGCGTTGGAGTCCCCTTCCCCTCTGCTCCTATTGTACCTGGGGCTCTGTCCTCCAACGGCTTGCTCACTACTGACACTTGTCACGGTCTCAACAGAGATCGTATCTCTGTAAGAGGTATATGAAACAGGGCAGAGGAAGAAGGAAGATTTAGTCCTATCTCTGTAAACTTGAAGAGGCCTGGCTCCACTGAAATAGTCAAAAATCTTCCTTCATTACTTGGCGCATAATTAAGATCTACTCCATTTGGAACAGATTTAGAGCTTCAAGTACAGATTAAATATCTATCCCAACCAAACCCTCCATATCTTTCTTTCAAGGGCACCGATCGGTAACGAGGGGCTCGATGTATGACTCACCTCTATGGGAACACGGGTCCCGGTGGAGGTGGCACCTGCAGGGCCGCCGTAGGTCGTGAAGGACCGGTCCTCGGCAGTGGCTTCGCCACAATGCTGTCCTCCGCCGACAAGTAGTCTTAGGTGGTTTCTTTCAGGTAAATGGTAAAACCTAGAAATGCCAACAAGTTCTTCGAAAATGTGAATCTACTTCCGTAAGGAAGAACCAAGGAAAAGGAACCTAAATGACCTAAATGACAGGACAGCTTGGTGCATGCGATTTTCCACCCTCTGAAAATTTATGATGACACACAGCCTTGAAACAGGCATTCGAGAGAAAGAAACATCACCAGATCTTTTGGAACCAATGTGAGTTTCCTAAGAAGCAAAGTTATTACTAAAACCCTCCGAGATGATTTCATCCAAAATCTTAAATGACATAATACAAGAGTTTTTCCAAGTATATGATTGATATTGGTAGGAGCCTTGTCTTAAAGAAGCAACCAAATGCCTTTTTGTTTGAAGAAGACAAGTGCCCATAGCGGAAAACAGAAGGCCAACCATCGGAAGAACAATTTTCTCTGTTAGCTTTGAAAAATCAAAGCTTTGATAAGTCAGTGCCACTAATGAAACTGGAAAATTTTGTGACCAGGGTTATTTCTATCTATAAGGCAACAATGAGCAAACATTTTGCAGCAAAATATAATTATCCCCATCTAACAACAGCCATCCTTTGTAAGCAAAATAGTTGCAAAGATTTGGCCCAATGTTCTTTCTTTTCATTTGATTGAAACCAATACACCTTCATCAAGTTCCCCCAACATCCCAATCAGAAGATAATGAAAAAATCAAGCTTTAATTACTATCATCTTCATAAAAATTTTGAGTGGACATCAAATCAATGTCATCTTCCAAAAATAGCTCACAATAAAATATTTCATTATTTTCTGTGGTTGATCTAGTGATTAATTTATTTTTATTCACTCAAGCAACTTGACCTTTGTAATCAATTGTTGCCCTCCTAAAGAATTAAATCTAGAAGATAATTTCTGAGAAAACCCAAGAGCAAGGATGTTCTTAAAGAGTGGACACATCCATTGGCAAGGGGTTGAACCACTATAAAAATCATAAAGTGCTTCAGATTTAGAATCTAAAAAGTCATAGAATTTAGATTAGAGAGAAAAAATATTCATCATAGTTGAAAATAGGATTTAATAACTTAACTCCTCCTTGATTTATGTGCAGCCTAAAATTTAACAAGAATTAAGTTTTTTGTAAAAATAGAAAAATATATAACACAAATTGCAAGAAATTAAAAAGTCCAAAAATTTGTGACATAATGGCTCAAAGATACCAAAATCTAGAGAATGATAGATTGAGACACTGGGGAAATTATATTTTTTCTTGGCTAATCCTATTTAAAGATGATTATTTCAACTTGTTTAATAATGAATTTCCAGTATCAATCTAGCTTTCATTCTCTCAAGATAATTTTCCTAACATATTGATTTAACCAACCATTATAGATTTCAATGGGTTGGCTCATTACAATTATTATAGGTTTAAGATCCATCTTGGTTATATGTTGCAGATTTAAGGTTTGATTGTCATTATTTCTTGACTTTCATCAAAAAAATTATGAAAATTATGTTCAAATTAACACAAGCATGTCATGATATTAATCATCACTAAATTATTTATATATATGTTTTAAGAACTAAATAGACTTAATATTTATAATTTTTTATATTGATCAATTAAAGACTAGGTGTCTGAAGTTCAAGGTTATTTGACATGACTTAGTTGTTGTATAATAAATCAGTAAATTTAAAATTTATAAAACTAGAAATATTAATTTTTAGATTTTAGAAATATTTTAGAACAAATAAATCAATTATAATTCGATAAAAAGTTCTAAAAATAGTGAAAAAAGTTTAAGTCGATTGCAAAGATGTAAGATAATATTTGGTAATATTTTATTAGTTTTATAAAATAATATAAGTTTTTATGATTTTTATACTAAATATATTTAAAAATTCATGAAAAAGGAAATAAGGATGTGGACGTCATAATGATGTTAGTACCCCAATGAATGTAAATCGGAAAAAAAATAGAGTTTCATCTAGTGATTCTTACATAAGCAATCACAGATGATTTAATAAGTCAAATTAAGTTATGTAAAAGTCATAAAAATTATAATTTAATAAAAAAATAATTTCAAAACTTAATTCATAATTGATTAATCACCTACATCTATTAGATCATAATGTTTTCCACCTAGGCTTATTGAGGTGGATCCAAAGTAGATCCATACAAAACAATTCTAGAGGTTTTTTTTCATGTAATTTGATGTAATTTTAAAGGATTCTTTAGTGAGTTTTCCTTTTAACCAGATTTTGTATAGTAAGTGGAAGGAAGAGGACCCCGCTTAGCCTTTCTACGTTACAATCATTTATAAGGGAATTATTTTGGCAGCCAAGAAATACCACGGCCCCGTTCTCTCCGCTGCGTCACGGAAGAAGGGGCGTCCAACGGTTTTCCCGCCCACAACGTTCGTCCGGTCCGCCGCTCCGCCACTGGATCCGCCGCTCCGCCTCGAACCGTTGCCTGACCCGGATCCGAAAACCTCCCGGTGCGACACCAGGGCTTCCGCTACGACTTAAACTCGCCGGGGGCATATAATTGTTATTCAGTTGTGCAACGGATAACTCGAGGCTTGAGAGAGAGAGAGAGAGATGGCAGAGGTTTGCGCGGGTTTTACATCCTTCGCGCGCAGTCCTCCTTGTCCCCCCCTTCCCACCTTATCTTCCTTCTGCTCCCTGTCACCACCTCGGCGCACGTCGGCGACCTGCACCGCGCTCTCTGCTGCGACACTGGGCGCCTCCCTGGCCAGGCTCTCCACTGCCCGGGAGGCACTTGCGGGCATTCTTAGTTCCGGTGTCATCGCCTGCCTCCGCGCCGAGAGGTAACATCTTCGTTTGCTTCCCATCCCGTGCCACATCTTCGCTTCGCTTCTCCTCTCGATTTTTGGAATTGCTTAATCTCTTTGTTTCGCTCTAGAAAGGACGTTTTTGTTCCGCTTGAAATAACAGGACGACAAATGAGTTAAAGGGGGATTTTAATGCTGAATTTTGAATTTCAGTTTCCTTTAAGGCCATAGTTAAAAAACGAGCGGCATCCTTGTGTGCACGTCGTGGATTTGACTCTGCGGTCCCTGTTTTCTTCCACCATAATGCTGTGGTAGTTTTGATGAAATTTCTCCAATTTCCATATTTCGATTATTTTCTCAGCGCGGAGCTGGCGATGGAGGCCGCCCGGGCTGCGCTCAATGGCGGCATCACAGTTGTGAGTTCGCTTTCTTTCTCTGACTGGGATACGTTCTCTGCCCTACGCGTTTATCATTTTTTTCTTTTGAAGATATTTTGCTCAGGGAAACACCATCATATGTTATCTCAATGTGCAGCTGGAGATCGTGATGACCACGCCTGGTGCATTGGAGGTTCCGTTGCCTACGCCACTGCACTTGATCTGAGGCTATTTTCCTTCTCTTTCTGCTCTGAGACGGTGGTTCACCTCGTTATCCTCTTCTCTTGCAGGTCATAGAGGAGCTTCAGCGGGAGTATACCTCATCCATCTTCGGAGTAAATGATTTCCTGTTTGCTTCCCCATTTAATTGAGATGCTTCTTTCTTTTAATACGGAGGAGCATGCTATTACATGAGATCCGGCGGAGCATGCTATTGCGTTCTTGCGGTGGAACACAGATGATGAACATAAATTCTCAAAAGCAGGGGCTAATTATTTATCTTTTCATGATATATCGTTTTATCTCCGTACACATTGGGAGATTCTCCGTTATGGAAGGTAAATATGGTGTGGTGTGATAAAATATGTATGAGGGTGTCCCCGAATGAAGACAGGGGTTTTTCTGGTAATGAACTCTTTGCATAATTCTTAGTTTGCATAACTCTTTGCATAATAATACCAAGTGCCTAGATTAATAAAGAGCTACGACACACTCTTTGATATGAGAAGGGATTAGAAAGCTATAGGTTTGTTTAAATGTTATCACCATAATCTGTTTTGAGACTGCAGATCGTTTTCCTTTGTTAAGAGAATCCGATTATCTGGTTGCCCAAGATGATACCCAGCTATTCCCAGAATATATTGTGGTGGGTGTAGAATGTTCCATCTGCTTCTATTCGCCACCATTAGCTGGGGACTTTTGCTCTAGATCTAAACCAAAGGATACATGAAATAAATAGGGTGCGCAATAGAATTTGAAAGACTGGAATGTCCAATAAGAAAAAACCGTCTCTCCTGGAAACAAAGGGGAAAACAACTGTTGTTCCCTATGAAAACTGTACAGGGGGACAAAAGGAAAGAACATAGTGTGGAATCCTTTCGCATACCCATTTTCAATATGGTGCGCGAGAAAACATGACAGTAAAGTGTGTCCTGTGAGGGGAAATGGAGAAGTATGTTCTGCTATCATACTAAGGACAAACAAAAGATGAGAACAAGATCTGACCTTCAGGAGGGTAACAATGTACCATATCTGTAATATAAGTGTGTGTGTGTGTGTGCATGCGTGCACAGATATGTGATATCAGAGCGAACAGTAGTCATTTACAACAAATTTTTTTCATCACCACACCTCAACAACATATGTGAACGAAGATACAGACACACTTTTTAAAGTATGGTGATAAATTCCCCCACATTTTACTGAAAATTGCTTTTCTAGGTGGGCACTGTCTTAAGTATTGAGGATGCAAGAAATGCTGTGAGCGCAGGAGCAATGTTTCTTATGAGCCCTGTGACAATAAAGGTAGGCATTAAGGGATAATCAGACCTTTAAATTGCATTGCTTATTGGGAATCTGTAGATCCTTCTTGACTTAATGGTTTGGTAAACGGTTAGCGTACTAAGGTATACCTTGATGCTGGTCCTGTGGTTTCTGGTTTAGGAAATTCTGTTTGATATCCAAGGTGAAGATGTTCTGTACATCCCTGGAGCGATGACACCAACAGAAGTATGTCGATGGGTTTATACATCAATATAATTTGTAATGTTTCTTATATTGTTACATCCTATTATTCCTTACCTTTGGATAATGGGTACAGCTTTCCTTTTCATCATCTTCGTTTTCCTTTTTTTTCTCTTTCCTTTATTTGTATTACTAAGCTGGGAAAATAACTTCAATTATCTTTTATATCTGCCTCACAGGTTTTTGATGCGCACAATTTAGGTGCAAGAATTGTCAAGGTTAGTTCTGTAACATTACTGTTCGGCACAATAATGAGCCATCTGCATATGCAAATAAATTGGGCAAGAGTTCCCATGATAGTCATCAGATTCACTGATTTACACTGTTTCTAGTTGGTGGTTTATTGTGCCTCCCTCTTTCTACTGGAGTAATGATCGTACACAAGAGGTGAATTTCGCCTCCATGTTAGTTTTGTTACTTGGGCTGAGTAATGTCTACCTTTCAAGTCTCAAGTTTCACGTATCCAACTTGTAGACATGCACACATAATCAGTTATCCTAATTGTCTTGGGTTTATAAGCATTTCCTCACTGCTTCCAAATCCTTGTCTTGGTTGCAACAACACAACAACACATGAACCCCTAAATCACAATACCAGCAGATAATGCCTGGATTAGCTAATTAAACATTTCAACATTGTGTTGGTTCTTTTAATTCTTTTTCTTTACTTTTGGATAAGTATTATGTATTTTAATTGAGTTTTTGATGGAAGGCTAGGATGAAGTGTATTTTGGTAAATATTTTATCTATTTCAGACAACTTTGAAATTTAGAAATAACTCAGGAACTCCTTTCTGGCTGAATGAATATCAGTATCTTTTTGTAATCAGATGACCTTGGCGAAATTATATATTCATAAACTATTTAGTGACGATAGGTAAGAAATGGAAAAAAAAAAGTGAGTTTCTCGCTCTTGGCATTCTTCCTTTTAAGTGTCATTGTCAATCTCACTGCAAAGTCAACTGTCAATGCCTGTCAATTTGAAATCACTGTGAGAGCAATCCACAAATGATGTTTACCTCTCTATTTCATTCTGACAGCTGAAAAATCCAACCAATGAGTTGGGTTTTCGTCTCTCACTTTTTACCAGTGGTGGTGTGTGGGCCCTTCATCATTTTGTATTTACCGTGGGTTCCAACTGTTGTGTGGATTATAACTGGAAATCTCAAATACTTAAAATACTGCAATCGTAACTGAGCGTCGTGTGAGGCTAGTTTTTATTCTGGAGAGCTATCTTTGTGATCTTGCTTTGACTCGAAACAGAGCCTTTCTGGTTACTATAACAGAGGTGGAAAATTGAGAAAAACCCTTAATTGAGTCTCCTATAGTGTCATGGTATTCTGGGATATCGTAGAATCCTTTCAATACCTCAGGGCATCTAGAGAGATGCAGCCATCAGTAATTATGTTTCCTGGAAAGTTGTTTAGTGATTCCTGGGGATTAGAACTCTCTTGATTCAGAGTTCATGTTTTGTCAGTAAAGTCTCATCAGTGCTTGTTCATTTCGAACTCTTTTTCTTTAGGATTTTGGGGGGAATTTATTTTTTTCACCATGAAATTCATCACAAGAAATTCACTTGAACAGTTTTTTTCACTCCAAATTATTTTTTTTGTCAAGTATGGAGACTCCCTTGTTGTGAAGTTTGTCCCTCGATCTTGCATTTATGTTATTCCATTATTATACGGTTTATATGTGCACTAAACTGAGGATTGTTGATTCATCAGACTCCAATGTTTTAACGCTTTTTGCTATGTATTATAGATTTATCCAACCTCAGTTTTAGGCGGTGCCCAATATATATCAGTACTGAAGAAACCTTTTTGTCATATCCCAATGGTTGCTTCGCAAGGGATAACTATAGGTCAGTAGCCTGAATTTATAAATTATTTTGTACCTTCATGCTTCCCACTATTTGCATTGTTTAGCTCCTCTTCAATTTCATGAAATGTCTGTGAACATATATCAACCAGTTATCCATTCCAGCTGCAGGTTTCTTCGCCCCATCTAAAAACATTTGCATAAATTATCGATCTCCCCTGGTTTAATGATTGTCCTGTAGACCTGTAAATGATATACCAATATTAGAAATGATATTTATCACTTTAGGACGGATATTAACTCATCTCCTTTTTCGATCATTGTAATTACGATTAGTTTTTCTTCCTTTTTAGTTCATGAAATCGTTGGAGTTTGTGATCCGTCGGAAAAAAGGGTGATTGGCTCTTCCTATTTGTTTCATCCCCTGACCAAGATCTTTTCAGACAGCATTATCCTTGATCAACATTTTTCCTCGAGTCTTCCTTGCTGATTAATTGGATGCATAATTTTAAATCAATGTACATAGTTCATTTACCGGTAGCTATATAAATGTATTATACGGGAAAAATATTTTTAATCATATAAATGCATAATTATACGTCTTTTCTACTGCCATCCCTCACCAAGTTAAACATCTTCATTATTTCTACTGCACAGAATATTCAAGAAGACTATGCTGTCAGCCGACAAGGAATTAAGAACCCTGTCTCTCCTGTACTTGTAACTCAAATTTTAACCCTAATGGAGAATTAATAAGCTCCATTAAATTATGAGAACCTACTAGAAAAATAGAAAATGACTGAATGAAAATAGAATAGTCCTCACACTCTTCCACTTAAATAATTATTAGTATTTAGTAACAGCATTTTGAGAATGAATTGACGAAAACTCGTATATCATACCTCGCAAATATGGCACAGGACTTTGCAGGCGAATATTTATTAGTGAGAATAATGATTCAGGATTGTCACATGAATTATATTTTTTCATGCTTCAATTTATCATTTTTTTTATAGCAATGCTCACTAATTCAATGATGTTAAAAATGATATTTTTTTCACAGCATTTTTTGCCTCAGTTTTTCTTATTGGGCTTTTAGTCTTAAGTAAGTCTGTAGATACTTGTGGCTTCTTTTAGACCATGCATTAAGATCTGACATAGATTAGCTACGTAAAAATTTTCAGATTTGATCAAGACATACATTGACAGAGGTGCATCCGCAGTTGTTCTCTCTGATGCTATATTTGAAAAAGCGGCCATGAGTCAGAGGAATTATGATGCCATATATAGACTGGCTGCGTTGGCCAGTTTCCAAGGCTCCCAAGCTGTAAATCGGTGAGTCATAGTACCTTTTTTATGCTGATTTAAAAATGATTTCAATTTTATTTTACCAACATAAAAAAAATAAATTCCCATCGATTTGATGTTCCCTGTGTTTCGGCAGTAAGAATGTCTGCATTGATTCGGCTCATTTCATTCATTGGTTAATTACTTTGGATTAATCCAAAATCCTAAAGTTTTCTGAAACCCACCCATTTGTTCATCAATCAGTTATATCAAAAAGGTGTCTTCTGAAACCTATATGTTCATCTACTGCAACCATTCTAATATCTGCCGGAACAGCTATTCAGCTGCTCATCCATTCTTTCCCAATTTGTTAAGGCGGAAATGTCCATGCAGGGCCAGGAGGGAAACCTGTTAATTTCTTATTGAGATCAGACACAAAGTTCTATGATGTTTGCTCCTGCATGAAAGGCACATGAACTGCTAGATATGGTCCCTCTCCATAATATCATCTTTCCAGCAGCTGGCAATCCAAACGTGGGAGTTTTCCAAGGTAAACATTCCTTATGAACCAATGAAGCACGAACGCATTTGTGAGTATATCATCCAATTGAAGCAGGAAGCTAGGCACAAATTTTGTTCTCCTTGCTGTACATAGATGTATAAATAAATAAATAAATAAATAAATAAATAAATTTATTTATCGCTACTACTTTTGCTTCATGTTTGGATTTAAGTCTGAGCTGATCAAAGAAGACTCTTGCTGCAGCATCATTCTGGTTTGAAAGAAGAGAAAAGAATTCAATGTGTGATTGTCGTTGATCCTCTGTGACCCAGCTTACGAAAGCTTATGTTCCTTGTGGTTTAGAATATGTATATAGTTTCTACCCCTTAACGGGGGGGGGGGTATATGTTCAATTAATGTGCATTAAGTGGCAGGAACTTCTTTTTTGAGGTGGTCCCGTTGAAGGATAGCAACTATTAGTCAGATAAACGACTTGAAGCTGAAGAAAAGGATCAGATTAAGACTCCTTTTGAGCCTCCAAATCAGAAATGTGCTCATCACACGAAGAGACTGTGTTTATTTCCTTCTTTTTGCTTTTCTAAAATGCAATTGCCTGTGAAGTTAGGTGGTGGCTTTGTGGGCAAAAGAGTATATATTCTTTGAGATATATATTTATATATATACGTAGAGAGAGAGCGAGAGAGAGCGAGAGAGAGCGCGCCTTGGGGGTGGTTTTCATAAATTGCTGATGAAATGTAGAAAAATCGTAAAAAATAGCACAAGGAGGGTTTAAAGAATAAGTGTAGCATTTGACGTCTACTATCCAAGTTGCTTATGAATGTAGAAATGGGGCAACAAGGAACAAAGAGTTTTTTTTTTCTATATTCTGCCTTTTTTAATAAAATTACAGTAGAATATTCATGTTTTCTATTTAGGGATAAAAATTTGGATTGTTTTTATTTTTTTATTGAAGTTGATACTTTATTTTGGACTAAAAATCTCCCCCCCTTTTTATGCAATAAAGCTCCTAATCATGTATTAATGACGGGCATCTCATAATTTAAGTTGGATAAATATTTAAAGTCTTTGCATGCAATAATCACATGCACTTAGAGACTACGTGGGCTTGGTCGGTCCGATCCGGCTCTTGTATGCTTAAACTCTCTCTCTCTCTCATCTTCTACTTTTGCGGCGGTTTTCTTAATTTGGGACTTTTAAAGTAAGTCCTAACTGGGCCTCGCCTGGCCCGGCCCGGCCCGGCTTCTCGTTGTGCTCGCTGCATTGGGCTTTTTGGTAGGCCCAGGCCGGAGCTGGTCAAACATCGTGTCGTTCGATCCAGCCGTTAGAGGGCTGTGTCAACGTTGACCTCGCCTTTGGGATCAAAGAGCTTGAGCTGCCACATGTGCGGGCCTTTGGAAGAGATGGGGCCCACAAACGAGAGAGAGAGAAAGAGAGTTGGTTGGAGAGTGAGACCAGCTCAATGCAGGTAAATGGAGGGACTTAAAATAAAGAATAGGCCAAATCCAGATCATTAGGCTAATACAGATACTAGTCTTCAAATGTACGACACAAACAACGTCTTTTATTGTTCTTCGCCTTCTCGTGCGCGCGCCCATTTACGAGTGAGTGGTCGTGGGAGCCTTTAAGCGTGTGGGATGGAGAGAGGGAGGTATCCTCACGCTCCTAATGGTCACCTCCATGTGTCGCCTTGTTAAACCAGCTATATATACATAAATCCCACCTCTCTCGCCCGCTTCCTCTCTCTCTCTCCTCTCTGTGACACCACCTCCGATGTCCGCGGAAGCAGCGCAGGTCCCACCGCCGGTGGCCGTCGCCGCTCCAGATCCGGCCACAGATCCGCCTGCGGAGGAGGCGTTTCGCGTCGACGCCGCCGACGCGAGCGAATCGGCAGCAGCGGCGCCGGAGACAGCGGCAGCGGCGGACTCGCAAGAGCCAGAAGATCTCCGACCCGAAGACGGCGGCGAGGGGGAGGAGGGAAGAGCGAGAGAAGAGGGAGGACGAGGAGGCAGAGGAGACGGAGGAGGAGACGGAGGAGGCGGAGGGGAGAGAGGGGAGAGGAAGGGGTTCCTCTTCCTCCCCGAAGCCAAGAGGAATAAGCTGTCCCCTGCGGACGATGAACCGGCGGAGGGAGGCGGGGAGGAGGATCCCGACGATCCAGGCGAGGAATCGCCGTCCTTCTCCTTCTCGTTCGATGCGACGGGCTTCGCGGCGCCGACGATCAACACGACTCCCAAGTTCGGATCCTTCAATTTCTCCGCCATCACCGATCCCTCCCTGGCCCTCGCACCGCAAGGAGCGGCGACCGCTGCCGGAGTCGAACTGCCTCGCGCACCGGACGGGGATGGCGTGATCCTCCCCCACAAGGTAGAGCTATAATTTTCACCTGTAACCTATCAAATAAATCCAGGAATAACATTGTTTCCGCTCGATCACTCGCCATTTATCCCTGCTCTCTCCTCCCTCTCTCCTCCCTCTCACCTCCTCTTCTCTCTCTCTCTCTCTTTCCATATAAGGATAAGGCAGGTTCCTTCATATTGTCTCGAGTGGTTGATACTTGGACGCTTTCGGAAAATCCATTGGTTTCCCGCGATCAAACATAGCAAATCAAGGGAAATCATATCATTTGTGGTAATTATCTTTGGTAAACACCCGGCCGCTGACTAAGCCCCCACATAGGTGATGAATTTATGCGCATAAAGCCCTTTCCCAGGCACCACCCAAAACCGCCGCCTAATGAGGCTTTTGTCCCCCCCGTTGACTTGTTCATACCGCAGATGTCGCGTTCATAAGCTTGGACCATGGATTATACCAACCAATTTCTTCCTTTAAAAATTCATGGTAATAATTTTTTGGTCAACGGGTCCTTTTCCCTTCTCCGTCAACTCAGCCGCAACCTACCGAACTCTGGCTTCATCTGTTTGTTTCCGCCTCCTATCTCCGTACTCTCTCTCTCTCTCTCTCTCTCTAGGAAATTCCTTCGCAAAACTTACATGTAGCTCATTATAGGATTATTATTTTCGGTAAATGAGGACGTTCTGCGTATATTCCCTGCCCATTGGGGTCAACGAGGTCCGGGCCGGGCCGGGGCCGGGCCTAGTCTGGGCCCGTCGAAGGCTCGTCGAGTCAATGGGCCATATTAAAGGTCCGATTGGCGTCCCTAATAAAGAACGACTGACGGGCTTCTTCGAAAGGAGAGGAGGAGGAGCCAGGCACGTGGCCAGAGGATGGAACACGTGAACCTCGAGGGGCCCCACTAAAGAAGAAAATACAGACTGCAATGCACCTCAGTCGTACGTCGAGTGGGGTCCCATCTGAACCGAACCGGACGCGAGGCAGCCCGACGCGGGCCCATTTAAATCGGGTTTAGTCGGCCCCCTGGTGCCCGTCCGTCGGAGGGAGAAATCGGGAGAGATCCCTCGTATGAGCCATCTAGAGATCGAGAGAAAGAGAGAGAAAGAGAGAGAGAGAGAGAGAAGGGTGTGGGGGGATATAAACGGAGAGAGAGTGGGAGGGAGAGGGCGCTTCCCGTTCCTATTTTCTCCGCCCCTGCGCCAGGTTGCGATCTTCCTCGCCGAGGCCGTCAAATCCTTGCCGCTCTGTCGAGGACCTGCTCGATCTGATCTCTCCTGAGCGCACCGCGCGCGCCGTGACGGAAATTGAATCGTTCGGGCCCTGGTTGACCCTTGTCGGCCTCTTCCTCTTCATCCTCAGGTCAGTCCCCGGCGGGCTTTGATTGTTCTTCTATTGTTGTTTGATCCGTCTCGCGGAGATCTGCTCGTTAAAGCGTTCGTCGTCCGTCCGGCCCCTCCCGTCTGGGATAACGTCCTTGGCCTTCTTTTATTATTTGGGTTACTCTGAGGTTTCGGTCTGCCGGCGTTGTGATCTGGTTCGGTCCAGGTTCTACAGATGGGGCAGGGTGTGGATGTAACCGGCAGCCCCTGTTGACTTGTTATCCGCTTCTGGATTCTAATCATTCTGCCAGCCCCCCCTGGGCCGCCGTCCGTAGCTCGGAAATAGATTACGTAAGGGGCTCACCGAGGGGAAATTGCTATGCATGTATCTGCGGTCCGAATCTTTCAAGCGGTAGGGGGAAGGGGTGGTGAATTGATTTGGATCTGTCGGTGGTGCAAACATGCACGCAGCGGAAGCTGTTGGTCTGGAGATCGGTTGGTTTGCTTTGCACACTGTCCCTGTTTCTTCGTGGGTGATTGGATTTCACTGTTCTCTCGAGCATTGGCTGGCCGCCTGTCGTTCATTTCTTTATTTGTATCTTCTTCTCCCATCGTGCGAATGAATCTGGCTCAATTGCTTGGTGCCAGTTATTGCAACTACTGATTATCCCCCCTACTCGTCCATCTTCTTGTACCGTTACTTGTGTTTTCTGTTACGTGTTTTTAAGTGCTCATGATAGTACGAGCATATTGCTTTGCTTATTTATTCGATTTTATGGAATGTTAATTATGCAACCATTGTAGTTTTGATGTTACGTGTGCTCTAGAGTAAATCGTATTAAAGATAGTAACCCATTGTGCATCAAGCGGTCGTATGGCTCTTTCCCAAATATTGAACCTCCGAGAAGCTCGTCTAGCTCTTGGACATTTAGATGTAAATTTTTTGTGCTTAGTGAAAGCGAAAGCTAGTTTGATTGATAGGAGCATGTTTATAGTCTAGGGAAATGGTGACCAAGGCATTTGTATTGTTTTTATGTAGAAAGGATAGCAGCATCGACCTAGACTATAGACAGAATACTGCTGGTTGATACTGTATCGTTTTATAGACATAGTCCAACTTGATTAGGTGAGTGTTGGTGAAATGGAGGTAGTCTACCGGATGTATGAAGAAATCATGAACAATAATTGTGATGTTCCTAAATTTTCCCCACCAGCTACAGGGTCAATTGGTTTATGGAGCTCTCCCGTAGAAGCAAGGTTCTAATTTCAAGAGTTGTGAATATCCGTAATAGGGAAAGGCAAGTGTGTACAGACGACTTCCTGGTAGAAGGATGTTTGAAATTTAGGACCAGCGATCACCTATGGATTTTATCTTATTGGACTGACCTTTTGAAATCTTCTTATTTCATAACCCATCAGCAGTTACCTTAGATCATAATCTACAAGATTTGGTGCCTCTGATTACTGATCAGCTTCCATCTTTTCTGGTAATCTTATAGCGGTTCAGCATCTCTCGAGTCTTGAGACAATGTCCCCAGCAACAAAGTCCAAGCCCAAGGAGAAGTCATCTTCAAAGTTGCCCAAGGAGCAGTCTCCGAAGCCTTCTTTGAAGCCCTCGACTGCACCAGTCAGTGGTGGGGCCAGCATCCTGGGAGGTGCCTACAATCCACTATCAGGAACATTCCACAGCATGGAGACTGTACCATCCTCTGCAATCCCCTTGGCACCCCAAGTTAACAGCCGGTTTCAGAGCATCGATGACAGTGACGACCACTCGGGGGGCTCTAGTGGGCTGCGAGAGTACGATTCTGTCTCCAACGAGAGCTGTTCAGGGGACTCCTCGGAGGACCCCAAGGAGAAGCCAGGGTCCATGTCCAAATCCCACCAGGAGGCTGTCCCCGGCTCTGACATGGAGAAGAGAGAGAAGATCAGACAAAAGAACGAGAGGAAGCACCAGCGGCAGCGGCAGCGGCGCGCTGAGGAGCTCTTCAGCCGCTGTACAAGCTTCCTCATGTCGAGGAAGCTGGACATTCTGGCCCAGCAGCTGGTTGCCATGGGTTTGCCCTACGAACAGGCCACCAGAGCGCTCATAGTGACCGGAGGCCAGGTCGAGGAGGCTGTGGCATGGCTGTTTGAGGCTGGGGAGGGGGAGGAGAAGGCGTCAGGCTCTGATGGTGACGATCGTCCAAGGATCGACATCGATGATGAGTTGGCCAGGATGGCCACGATGGAGGCAGAGTTCAAATGTTCGAAGCAGGAAATTCACAAGGCGGTCGTGGCCTGTGGGGGGGACCTTGAAAAGGCAGCCGAGGTATTGAAAGCTCAGAAGCATGACCCGCCATCACCACCAGCTTCCCCCCCGTCAAAAGAAGAAGGCCCCAGCAGCCAGTCTGCCACCTGCCATGGTGTGATCAGGTCTCCTCCTCCTAGTCAGAGCTCAGCTCCAAGATCACAAGTGAAACCACTCATCCCTATGGCTTCCCAGCATCAGCAACAGCAGCAGCAGCAGAGAAGACAGGAAGCAAGCAAGGGGGTCATCTCTCTCAGCTCTAGGGACAGAATCCTGCCAACACCGCCAGGGGTGCCCCCGAAGGCAGAGCGGCCCAAAGCTCAAGCTCCCACCCCTCCAGCACAGAAGAGGCTGCTGCCAACTGCCTGCCTGCCTGGCCCGTCCTCACCACCGCTGCTGCCCACTCGACTCGGAGCTCTTCCAGCAGCAGCCGAAGCCCGTGGTGGCACCACAGCTGCTTCCGATGTGGTCAGTGGGTTTGGGGTGAAGACGAGCCTTCCAGCGGCAGCAACGCGAGAGACGGTGGTCGTGATGCAGCGGCCTCAGTCCTATGCAAAGGAGAACCTTCTCCCCCCTTCATCAGGTGTCATCCATGGCGGCTCGCCGGCGGTGACCTCAGGATGGCTTACGACTGGGATTGTGAATGTGGAGGCAATGAAGGCGCCTACCCCGCCCAATCAGGGCCATCACCGCCACCCGCTCCCTAACACCACGGATGCAGCCACCACAGGGCGGAGCTTTGCAGGATACACGCAGCCACCTCCCTCATCCCTGCTCACCATGCCGTCATCTTTGGGACTGTTCACAGGGTGGGGCTCATCAGGGTTACCTGGCGGCTCATCCTCATCGGTCAACTGGAGCAGCAGTGGCGGCTCAATGATGACATGCGACTACAACTATGTGGACTGGAGCCCAAACTCAGCCGCCACCTCCTGGCAGCCCTTCCCTGCCGTTGGCAGGGCCACAATTCAGGACATTGGGGGGTGGACAATGAGGGCAGCCGCGGTGGCAGCAGCAGCGGCGGCGGCGGCAGAGCAGCACGGCCCAGTCCGAGCGGCGGTCATGTGTGAGCGTGGCTTCCCCGTGGATCTCAGCACCAGAGCCTCTGCTGCTGATGGGACCAGGGAGTGGACCAATGCATTTGCAGGGGGGGACATGTTCAGCCTGTCGAGGAAGGTGGTCATGTCGTCTCCCTGAAAGAGCTCAAAAGGCTGTAAACCCCCGCCAGCTTTAAACGGTTCTTAAGGGCAACGAAGCGGGTCAAATGATGAATAATAATTCAAGACCTCCCTTCTTGACAAGGATGAGGCCAGGCCTCCTCAGGGCAACCCTCCTAGAAGGTCTTCTTTGCCATAGGAAGAGGTCGGCGCTGCCACTGCTGCCGTCGAAGAATACCAATCGCCGCTTGCTCTCGTGAGGAACCGGGCCTCTGCAGTAAGTCAGAAGGCGATCACGGGCGTGATCATGATCATGATCATGCTGAGCATAACGATCATTTTCTTGGCGGCGGGGGTACCTGTGATGAAGACGTCCTTGTAGTCTTCATCGTCGTAGATGAACTGAGGAGGATCCGGCGACCCGATCCCCACCAGCGTGCTCCCGCTGTGGTGGATCAAGTCAAACAGTGGTCAACCGTTGGGATCAAAGTCAAAGGGTGGGGAAGATGGCAAACACGCATTAACGGGATGGCCCTGATGAGGGAAACCAGATGGTCCATCTCCGCACGGTCTTACCTCCCGGACATGAAGACGGCGTCGTACTCCCCACGACCGGCGGCGAGAATCCGCTGCTTCAGTCTTTTCAGCGACGGGAGGACCTCGAAAGCCGGAGCCTCTGAGGAACAAAACCCCGACGGAGTACGAGCGGCAGAATCACGCAAACACGTACATCGAGCATATGCATATAAACGGAAAGATCATTCACGAGGCACATGGAAATTTACACGAAGAGACAACGCAATGCATCCATCCGTAAGACCGTGGGGAGGTCATGAGATGAACCCACGTGGGCATGGGCATGTATGGAGAAATTGTTAGGTAACAAGTGAATATATGTGGGAAGGTTAAGCCAGGCGCATGCATGCATGCGTAGGCGGGTCGAACATGCAGAGTTGCACTGTGAAGCTGCGAAAGCCTGCAGATAGAATGCAGACCATAAAAGTGGCATAAACTGAGGGGGCTGGGCTTGGGGGCGAACCCCATTGATGAATGCTGCCGATTGATTCCAGGAATGACTGTTGGTGAGCAGGTGAAGGTGGCAACAAGGCTTCTTTTGGAGAATAAAGACTCTCGGTGGATAGGAACTTTGCCTAAAAAGGAAGGATGTGAGGAGAGGGGTACCCAAGTCATTCACACAGGCATCCTGGGAAATGCCCTGAGTGGAGATCCTCGCCAGCAGGGATGACGGGTCAACTCTGCTGGTTTGCTCCAGCCGTAGTCTCTGCACTGACAAGACCCAACTTCAGAGGAGCCAATCACAAGGGAATGCACATGAAATCATTTGACTTAGGGAGAGAGAGAAAGAGAAGGGGGGAGGGGGGGGGGGAGGATTTGGTTCATTGCCTTGTACACTTCAGCCGTTGGGCACGCCTCTTTCGGCTTTATGAGGACCATTGGCAGATCCAGTGGCAGCGGAGAGGGGATATCCCCGACAACCTGAGATAATGGAGAGGGGATCAGATCCCCCGGAAAGATAAAATGCTGTGAGAACACCAATGCACTGGATGAGGCCCCGGTGCTCTAAAGCAGGCATGCTTCTATCTCCTTGGGAAAAAATAGCAGCAATAATCCGAGAGGTCTCAGATAAAAACAGCCCATTTTGAGAGGGGAGGGAACCAAATCTGACTTTGTAGTTTGGATTTGTCCCAGAAATGGCCAAGATTCGTCAGCCAGTCTGCTCGTTGACTTATCCATTGTTTTAATAATCAGTGGTGCTCTATGCACAATGTTGTAAAACAGTGTCACCAAATTCTAGCAAGCGCAATCTAATTGCAGATAAAATATATAAAGATATCTATATATATACATATACATACATATTTATGGTCTGTTTATTTTACTGGTTTTATAGGAACTATGTTTATCCTCTGCTGCCAAAAGCAGGAATCCATAGGGCTTCTAAGCTCACGAATTTTTAATGACCAGCTAAGAGAGAAATGAAACGAATCTGGCTTTGCTCCACCGATACTTCCACCGACTTGCGCATGCCCCACACCATCTGTGGGGATCATCCATGAACGTCATATCTCACCCAATTATGGCCGATAAGATCAAACCCAGGACAGGGAAAAGGAAGAAAACAGGGTCTGTCTCTCTTCACTCTTTAGATTCTAACGACTGTGGGCCGGTGATCGTTTGGCTGTGTGATTCAGCAAGAATGGCAATCAAGAACCCTATGCGTTTAGTTTTGAAGATATTCAGACAGACACACATACCTCACCTCTGCCAGTGCAATATGCAGCCCCATGAGAGAAAAAGAAGGGGACATCTGAGCCGATCTCGCCCGACCATTCTTGCAGCTCCTGCTCTGTTGCGAGGCAGCCACTGAACTGGTTCGCAGCCCACAATGCAGTGGCGGCATTGCTACTTCCACCCCCTAGCCCAGCGCCAGTGGGCACCTTCTTGTCTAGATGGATCTGCGGCCATGGTCATCATGGTAAAGCACTGCGTGTGAAGACCCAGATAAACGGAAAATGGGTACATCTACGGAGTTGAGGGTGATCCTATCGAGCTCGTGCGTACCCAGAAGAAGTTATCGCTGCCGGTTTTCTTTCTGTAAAGATTCAGGGCCTTAATAATCTGAAAAAAGTAAAATAAAGTGTTAGTTACTTTAGATAAATAACGAATAATCATTAGAGTACACAAAGAATACACAGAGTGGTCATATTGTACCAAATTTCTCTCATCAATAGGCACTCCTGGCACATTGGTTGACAAATGATCTTTCCTTTTAGTTGGTGACAGGGAAAACTTTAAGGTATCCCCCAGACTAATCACCTGAGGAGTAAATCAGGGGATCAGCAGCATCCATCAATCGTGAGATTGAGGGAGAAAAAACTAAGAATTATTAGAAAATGAGCAAATATGTGGAAGTATTTTCCCTCTTTTGTTCTTTTTTTTAAAAAAATGGCCTTTGCGGAATTATATGTGCTGATATTGGATCAGATTCAGGAAAACACAAGATATGATTGCAATAGCATGAAAGGCAGCAACTGAGGTCAGCATCCTCGCTCTCACTACTGAATCAGCACTCGAACTACACCCATATCAATCGAATGGGGCCGCAAACATCTGACAGAAATTACTCACATGAAATAAAGACGCTAAATCGTGGTACCCATCTTCTCTTCTTCCGGTTATCCTCAAGAAGATGTTGACCTGGAAAACCACGAGGCCCACCAGGATTATGCTCCAACGGAACGCAAGAGAAAATCTGAAGCCCCAACTTCAGACCTGACCGATACCTTGCAGGGGGAGAAGAGCGTCAACCGCGACAGGCCAGTGTTCCTGCCAGCTTCATCCACCCACCTGTTCATCTTATCCTCTGGGTCGTACACGATCTAGAAAGAGAACACACCGATACCGTGCATCAACTAGAGAGAATTTAAAAAATCAGAACGGCAAACCGCACGGAGGACGCCATACCTCGACCTGCTTCCTGCCGGAAGCGTTCTCCGAGGCAAAAATTCTCCGGCACGCCGTCCTCCTCCCCGTCTGGTTCCAGTGATGGGAGAACGGCCCTTGCCGGAGAAGCGAGAGGGAGGGCCCATTCCGCGGGAGCCGCCCCTGCCCACTGTGCCTCGGAAGGCCGTAATGGGAGGAGAGGCAGTGTGCCGAAGCCATGTGAACGCGAGAAAAGCCCAGTCGGATGGGCGTAGAGGAATCTCAGAGAGAAAATGATGATGGTGGATGGGGTGAGGCGGAGCAGAGGACTTGGGTAGGTTTTCCCCTCAGAAGAAGAAGAAGAAGAAGGCACTGGTAGAAGGAGAAGAGGCCCACTCCCGCGGAGCTGCTCTCCGAAGGAATTGAGCTGCTATCAGCCTCGGTGAGAATCACCGCCCTTGAAATAGAGCTGACGTGGTAAGAGAATCTTACCCGCAAGATAGCATCTTGATACAACGTTCGTGTAATTGGGTGGGGTCAATTCCCAAGTAGGTTCCTATATGAGAATTGGACCCTCAAAAATCAGATCTTGGCATCATCCCTCCTCATTGATCGGACCCACCAATCATCCTCTCCCCGTCCACCTCTCGAGAATTGACCGCACCAAGAGTGGTCATGTGAATCAACTCACTCGGTACGCACAAAACCTAATGCTCTGAAAACCTACTCTCTTTGCGTCATGGGCTCTTCCATATGAGGGCTGGTCAACTCGATGGCATATGACTCTAGAAATATGTGAAACTTTCTTTGATGGGTAATGTAAGAAGCCTATTTGTCAACACGCAAAAGCAATCTTGACCTTAAACATCAACAAGCCCACTCGATCTTATATAGTCAACGGTGAAGAAGTGTAGAACCCATAGATATTTCCGTAGATTATGAAGCATAGAGCAAGTTAGTAAGTTGTTCATGGTGGGGTTGTAGATCATGAGGGTCACTTTAGTAAATTCAAATGGGAACACATAGCATTGGAGATTAGATGATGGAAACATGACCTCAAGTTTGTCAAGGAGTATTAAAATGGAAACATATGGCCTATTTTTCGACCATATTCACGAAGTTGACTTGCGGCTGTGAACTTTGTAAGTGGTATAATTACAAGTCAAGGGGCTATTTCTAGTAACAAAATGACAAAAAAAAGAGATCCTGAAATATTTTCATTTTAGTTGGTAAAAAGAAAATACGGGCATGATTTTAAACTACTTGATTTAGCAGTGGAATAATGCCAAAAAAAAAATCCGAATTGAATAATTTTAATTTCGTATTTGTGAAATCACAGGCCTGGGTGTAGAGATGGGGAAAATAAATAAATTTACGTTGATATTTTAAAATATTATATATTTTCCCAGTGATTTTTCCATAAATCGACACTCAACAATATTATCTTCTTTTTTTCTTTTCTTGAGTGGCTAACATTTTGGGCCCGGCGTGAAATAGAACTGTTTTTTTTTTGGGTATGGACCCACGTTTATTTGGATTTCAGGAGATTGAATCTGTCTGGTTAATAAGCCCATTGGGCCTCACCATAACATTTTGGGCCCATGCGGCAAGTGACTGGGTGGGCCTGGGCCAGCTTGGAGGTCCAGATATATACAAGGGGTTGCCTTTCACAAAAAAATATAAGTAGAGGTCTTGGAACAATAGTCGGTATTATGCGGGGATATGCCTGAAAATAGTAGCACGGGGTGGCCGTTTTATTAACCGTTCGTTCACAGATGGCCACGAGTGACAGTTCAAAAGTAGCTTGGGGAAGAGAATTCCCTGATATTAGGAGGATAGGAGGAAGAAGACGACCATCGTCGAAGGGAGCCATGGCCATCCCCTTCTCCTCTGCGCCTTCCTCCCCGTCATTCTCTCCTCTGTCGGTTTCCCCCTTCTCCGCTCGCTCCAGCTATCCGGCGCCGCGCTTGCTCGTGGTTCCTCACCGGGGAGAGGGAGTGATGTTTCCTGCATTCGGCTGTAGTCTCTCTTCTATCCGCCAACACCCATACAAGGCGCTGACATGTTATGCCAGAAAGGAGTCTACGCAGAAGTTCGAGAGGCTCTTCTCCAATTTGAATCAGGTCACCTTGAAGAGGGAACCGGGTGAGTCTGGCCTTCAGGGTCGCCTTCCAATTTCGTTTTGCCCTATGGTCTCCTTTTTAAGCCCTTGATAACGTTTTTATTTGTGATGGGATACATAGCCACATGAGATTGAGTTTCTTTTCTTTTTCTGACAGGGAGTGTAACTAGTGCTGTCTTTCTTGTGGCGGGCACCACGGTATGTGCTACATTTTTGAGATTCTTGTTGTTGATACTAATTATATGTATCTATCTCTAATTTATATTTAGGATACATTAATTTAGACATTTTATACGTAAAGAAGCATGTGAAAACTTTCAAGGAACTTTATGTGACTACAGGTGGCGCTTAAAATTATGTTCTTACAGCACCTATTTCACTTGATTCCTATAACATATTTGATCAGATTTTTGTGCCTGTACCCCTGCTCCATTCTACGTTGCTTAAATTTGGACTAACTTTACAAACATTTACGCAGAATAAAATACACAGAAATTTATTTGGTAAACTATTTAGTAGGTCCATTGAGTTATTTTTCCTTCTATTATTTACTACTGCCGTAAGAGTGTCCCCCCGGCCTGATCAAGCTGGTCAGGTTTGTGGAGAATCAGGCTCGAGTATTATGGGCTATATTTCATTGTTAACAGCCTGATTGACATGTTGGGCTGCTAATTACACTTGTCTCACTCAACAATGAATTATTTTATTGGGAGAAAGGAAACATTATGAGAGTGAGAGAAACAGAGATCACATTAAAGGAAAGCCACCAGTGTAGTACCCTCGACTGTAGCTGCAACAGCACAAAAGGGGCAAGTACTAGTTGTTTAACTCAACCTGCCTGACCCATAATTTGCCACCATAATTGAATCATCAATACATTCATAGCTTAGTACATTCAAATTGATCCACTGGTTTTTTCCTGACTGTTGGATATTGTGGCCTGTAGAAATATTTCTATCATAAATGGATACATAGGGACTCAGGATTTTTGGAGTAATTAAAAGTATTTCTTTGTCAGGAAAGATATAAAGGTATTTGGTTTTAGTTTTTTGGTTAAACACAAATCCCACTTGAAATTAAACGGAAAATGGAATCCCACATTAACTGTCCAAATAAAAAATACCAAGAAGAGAGAAAACAAAAAGGTGAGAATCACGATAAATATCCTTAGGATATCTACACTTCCCAACGTGCACCATTCAGCTCATTGTTAGACCTTCTAAATGGCAGCCTATTTGTTTTGTATCAGTGTTTTCTGCATATATCCTGTTGTCGTCTTGTTATTTATCATCAATATCACCCTTTCCCAGTGGTCTTAAATTCCTCGTCATTTTAATCAGCTTTCTCCACGTTTTCCATACCCAATGCAGTTTATCCTGTAATCATCTTCTAAATCATATTTTCTGATGACATAAGAATATTTACTCCACAAAAGGAGGACCAGTCATGACTCAAGATAGTCAGCAATAAGATTAACCGGCAAAGCTTAAAACTAATGCTCCCTTATTATTATACCATATTTGTAATGTGGCCAAGGGGATTGAAGTGATGATCTACTGCCTAGGAAATTAGGCAAGATGGTGAAGTGAATGTCTTTTTTCAATTTACATAGATGATTATTTTACTCTTTGTAAAATAATATGTACGCATGCTTAAATAATCATTTATGCTTAAGTAATTCAATTTATTTTTAAATTTATTAAGTCATTAAAATTAAATTTATCATCTCATTATGTTTAAATTCGTGAGTGGTGATTGGATTGATGATAAAGTAGAATCCTGGGTCGTGAGTGTATAATGTGTTTTGATTGACTTCTGATGAATGGTAGAACTGTTTGGATGGAATCAAATTTGCATGTATAAATGTAAATAAAATGTTAGAGAATGTGAGTTCCTGTCTGCACGTGTAAGAGGATGTCTGCATGCTGTGGCTTGTCTGGGTGAGTTGGTTTGCCTTCTCATCATGATATCAATTTGATAATGCCTTGAACACAGTGTACAATACACTTTTTATCGAACATACCTAAATTAAGCCAATTAAAAAAAATGTGGGCCATGAGGGACAGCTCTTCCCAATTACCTTCTAGAAAAAGTGCAGCCTTATTATTTTAAGCTTGTAATTGTTAACGGGAGGTGTCTCTTGTTAGTCAGAAAATAATTCAAAATATAGTCAGCTATATGGGAGATTGGAACAAGGAATGCAAAAATACGGTTGAGTTTGTTTCAAGTTAAGATGGCTCTTCCATTGTAGGATAGATGCAGGGTAAGATTGCTTAAGTACTATATAGCAGCATACTGTTAAATAGCTAAACAACAGTGCTTGCATGATGCTGGTGTCAAATCGATGGAAAAAAAATAAAATTCATGGAGGAAACAGAAGGACAACACAGGTTAGAGCTGTTACTGGGAGAGCTGGCTACTGTCCATTAAGAAGCTATGATTGAATTGCCTGCCATCAGACCGGATAGTTAATGTATCTCAGATGTCAAGTCGTGCTCCCTAGGTGGTGTCATTCTCTATGTTAAGTGGATCCATTAGACTGTTAACGGATCCACTTAAAGACTAATGTAATGGGCTTGGCCCATTAACTCATGTACCTGTAGATACGTAGGAAACCAAGATAATTGATGTAAGACTTTGAGATTGGGGGAATTCTGCTCCAAGAAGTGGTGACTGATTCATCGTCCTAGAAGAGGAGGATTGTGAAGATCGAATGCTTTCATTCTCCAAGTTGCTAGAATCTCAATCAAGATCAATTCTCAACATGGTATCAGAGTTATGTTGATTCTGGTAGGATCAGATACTTCTTGTTTCTTGTTTCTTGAATCTTGTTTTTCTTGTTTCTGTGTTGGAGCAACACCAAGGAAGAAAGAAACCTTCCGCAAGTAGTGAACTGAGGCATTTTGAAAAGTATGAAGGAAAAAGACTTTCATAATGCATTTAGGAGAAGGCTCTTTGTCATCCATGAAACTCGTATTATGTCTAGCAACGACTGGAGAATGGGAGAGACTATATCATACTCTCCCAAATATCCCAGAGAAACTTAGATTCAATGAGATAAATCTTCATCAATGGGAGCAGTTTGTTAATTTGACGTTTTTTGGAAGAGGCTTAATAGATCAGCTTATAGAAGAACCATTGAAGTAATTAGATCCAAAATATAGAGGATGTAAATCAGAAGAGGCTATTATCTATACATGACTGTTAAGAGCAATGACAATAGAGTTGTATGAGAATTTCCTATTCATGCACTTGGTGAAGAAATTGTGGGATCAAATTCAAAAAACGTTGTTCAAAGAAACATAACAATTGGAGGATTTATGACCTAGTGTCTAAGGCAACACATTTAGTGTAAGGAAGTAAATCAAATATGGAATATCGTGTGAATTAAAGGCTACATGGAGGGAGATTGACCATTTTTGGCCAGTAAAGAATCCTAGTTCTGAGGAGTGCATGTATACATTGAAACGTAGGATGTATACATTTCTAATGAGACTGAACTCTGATTATGAAAGCCTCAAGGGTCAAATTCACTGTGAAAAGGTACTTGATCTGGATGAAGTTATCTAGATTGTTATGGAAGAGGAGAGTAGATTGAGTCTAATCAATCTTGGGAAGAATGAGTCAAAAGCCTTTGGCTCCAGCAAGTAAGAGCAGGGAAATCAATTAGAGAAAAAGGAGGGAAATCAAAACCCAATCACTGCATCAGAAGGAAGATACCAGAAGTGAGATAACAAAGAAAACCTCTAGTGTTCATATTGCAAGAAGAAGTGTCATACAAGAGAAAATTATTGGAAGTTACATGGACGACCACCTCAATAGGGGAGAGTATGTGGCTACTTCTCAATTCGCAGAGACTATGGTCAATCTGCGATAAAAGAACCTCCCAATCCTAGTAATCATCAAAAGGGCGATGAATTTGAAAGACTGAGGGAGGAAGTAGAGAAACTCAAGACTATGCTGATCTCTACGTCCTTGGTTTAGTCAAGTGAAAATAATTTGTTCTCAAAATCATATGCATTCAACAGTTTTTCTAAATTGTCCTAGATACTTACTATGGCGCCACAGACCATATGACCTCAAATATGTGCAAATTTGTTGATTATATGAAATGAGATGCGCAGAGGAAAGTTATTACTACTGGTGGTGAGATTCTACGAGTTGAAGGGATTGAGAACTTGAAAATAAATCATTTAGGCACTTTAAAAAATGTTTTACATATGCCTAAACTAAAGGCTCATTTGATTTCACCACAGAAACTTGTTAAAGATATTAATAGTCGTTTCATTCTTGAGGATGATGGATGTTGTGTGACAAGGTTTCAGGACTGAAGATTGGACATGTTAAGGAAGGAGGAGGCTTGCTCTACTAGGAAGAGGATGATCATGCAACGATGTCTATATAGCATTCACCTTGGAGTGGAGTCAGTGAACACAAAAAGAATAGTATACTGTTACAACATTGTCATGTTGGACATCCTTTGATCTCCTAAAAATATGGTTTCTTTCTATGTTTGAAGGTGTTGATGTAAAAACTCTAGTGTGTGATGCTTGCCAATTGGCCAAACACAAATGCTCTTCATTTGGAAATGCTGGTGAACATAGTACAATCCTTTCATGTCATATACACAGTGATATTTGGCGGCTAGTGCCTATGACTAGCTTGTTTGGATGCAGGTCATTTATCTTATTTGTTGGTGACTGTACTAGGTTTACTTGAGTTTGCCTTCTAAAATCAAAATCAGACGCCACCCAAGTAGTGAAATCTTTTTGTGAAGTGATCAATTCGGAACTGTCATCAAGAGGTTTAGATCAGATAATGCTAGAGACTATTTCAATTCGGCTGTGTCCTCTTACTTGGATCAAAAGGGATGATTCATGAGTCATCTTGTGTCAATACACCTTAAAAAAATGGGGTGGCTGAGAGAAAAATCAGGCACCTACTAGATACAACTAGAGCTCTTTTGTTTCAACAAAACGTTCTGAGGCAATATTGGGGTGAAGCTGTCCTCACTAGCATCTTATTAATAGGATCCCTGAGAAAACACTAGAATATCAAAGTCCTATAGAACTGTTGAGTAAATTCTATTCATGTGAAACTAAAGACTCATCTTCATCCAAGGGTATTTGGATGTATTGTTTATGTTCATGCTCAAGGCATAATGGGAATACTTGATCCATGATCTATAAAGTACATATTTTTTGGGTACTCAACTACACAAAAGGGTTATAAGTGCTATAATCCTACTTCAAAAAAATTCTTCATCTCAACTAGTGTGACCTTTAACAAGTTGGAACCATATTATGGGGTGAAAAATCCACAAAAGTTAGAGACCTCGATTCCTGCCACTGAGTTACAAGACATAAATGAATTCGTGATTTAGGAGATACCCATTCTTAGAATCAAAGAAATACAAGTGTATAGGAGACGACCTAGAGTGGAGCCACAAAATATACCAACTAAGATGAATGATTTACCTGCACTCCAGAGGGAACCAGCAGAAGAAACTAGTCCAAGTAAAAGAGACACATCTCAAATTTATAATACCGATCAAGAAGAGGATCATCAGTCCACTAAAGCCATTGATGAAGAGCAACTATATTGGCCCATTGCTCTACACAAAAGAAAGAGAAGTTGTATAAATAAACCACTATCTTATGGTCAACTACCTATCGTATGATAGGTTAACACCATCGTACAAGGCTTTTCTCATGAACCTGAAGACAATTATTATCCCCAAGACAATAGAAGAAGCCCTGTCACACAAAGAATGGAGTCATGCCATGGATGTAGAGATTGATGCACTAGAGAAGAACTGTACATGGGACTTAGTCCCTTTGCCTTCAGAGAAAAGGTAGTTGGCTGCAAGTGGGTATATATATACTCCTAGGTATAAAGCTGATGGAATGTTGGAAGATACAAGGCAAAGTTGGTGGCTAAAGGTTATTCACAATCTTATGGAATTGATTATTTTGAGACATTTGCTCATGTTGCAAAGTTGAATACCATCTGGATACTTATAGCATTGGCAGTAAAGCTAGGATGAGAAATGCATCAGTTTGATGTGAAGAATGCATTTCTTCATGGAAATTTGGAGGAAGAAGTATATATGAATGTACCTCCAAGTTACACATTTACTAATCAAAAGAATTTTGTTTGTAGGTTGAAGAAATCTCTAAATGGCTTAAAACAATCACCTCAAGCCTGGTTTGAGAGATTCACTCAAGTTATGAAAATATTTGGGTACATAGAAAGCAATGGGGATCAAACTTTCTTTATTAAGCATGGTGAACCAAACAAGGTTACAACCTTAGTTGTGTATGTAGATGATATCATCATAACAGGAGATGATACTGAGGAGTTTAAATGCCTTGGCCAAAATCTATCTAGGAAATTTGATATCAAATCCCTAGGAAGATTAAAAGATTTCTTGGGAATTGAGGTTGCATATTTAAAAGAAGGTATATTTCTTTCACAACACAAATATATTCTTGATTTACTTCAAGAGACTGGAAAATTAGAGTGTAAACCTGCTGACACTCCAATTGATCCCGACCTAAGTTCGGGAGAAAGTAAAGACTCTGATCAGGTAGACAAAAGCTCATATCAACATTTGCAGTGAATGTACTCAGTCAGCATATGAATGATCCAAGGGAGATACACCTACAGGCAGCATATTGGGTGTTGACATATTTAAAGACAACAACATGACAATGCATTCTATTCAGAAAAGGAGGGAATCAATCTGTTGAAATCTACACTGATGCTGATTATACAGGGTCTGTTATAGATCACAGATCAACATCGGGTTATTGTACATTTGTTTGTGGAAATCTTGTGACCTGGAGAAGCACAAAACAACAAGTAGTTGCACAATCTAGTGCTGAAGCAAAATTCAGGGATTGGCCCAAGGGATATGTGAAGGCCTATAGATTTGAGGTTTGCTGGACAGATTGAGAGTTAACCAATCAAATCATATGAAATTGTTTTGTGACAACAAGTCAGCAATAGCTATTGCTCGAAATCCTGTACAACATGACATGACTAAACATATTGAAGTGGATTAACATTTTATCAAAGAAAAAGAAGAAACAGGAGATGTAGATCTGATATATGTTGGGACATCAGAACAGGTTGCTGACATAGTCAAAAAGGGACTAAGAAGACCAATATTTCAAAGGATGGTGTCCAAGTTGGGCATGGAAAACATCCATACCCAACTTCAGAGGGGGTGTTTTTCCTTTCTATCTGTTTCTTTTCACTGTATTTTCGTCCTTCTATGTCATTCCTTATGTTAAGTGGATCCATTAGACTGTTAACGGATCCACTTAAAGACTAATGTAATGGGCCTGTCCCATTATCTCATGTAACCTGTAGTTAAGCGGGAAACCAAGATAATTGATGTGAGATTTTGGGATTGTGGAAACTCTGCTCCAAGAAGTGGTGACTGATTCATCTTCCTGGAAGAGGAGGATTGTGAAGATCAACTCCTTTCAGTCTCCAAGTTGCAAGAATCTTAATCAAGATCAATTCTCAACAGTTTTCATAGAGCAAAATCTAATCAGGAGCCGTCACTTAATATCGTGAGATCCTATCATACATTCTATGCAAACTGTCATTGCTCTATTTGTAACACCGGGCAGCAGCTTAATTTTCTTCTTTGTGATGCTGTGTGGATTATTTTCAGCCTCCTCTGCTGTAATCGTTTTTACGTTTCTGTTTACCCTTATTATCTTTAAGCCTCTTGATCCCATGAGATGGGCTGGGGATTATCAACGATTCCTGGTTTCTCTTCTCTCTTGTCTTGCTTCTTGGCATTAACAACATGATCAAGATGTCTCAAGATTTACATGATCTTATCAAGGAGAATGGTGTAAAACTATTTCTGTAGGATATGATTGTCTCCTCTGGGAACAAGTCGTTTTTAGATATATATTTGTTGTTTATAGTTGTCTATCTAAATTCCTGGGAGGGTTCGGCCATGTTTAAATTCTGCAACTTACAAAGAATCATTATTTTTTTTCCTCAGCCAGTTATTGGCAAGAGACTGAGCCATCACAAAACATCATGTTTCTTCTGAATGTTCATTTGCATGTTAAGATTTGATAAATTGGGTGACAGAGTGATCTATTTAGTAGTTGAGTTCTAAATTGTTAGATAAACCTAGAAGCGTCATCATGCATATTCATATCATACTTGTTGTTTTCTTCATATATCGTTATGTATTTCAACCTTGATAGTTTTTCATGGGTCTACTTGATTTCTCCAAGTCATCTAAATTATGTAGGTTGGTGCTGGTATTCTCGCTATCCCTGCTGTTACACAGGAAGCTGGATTTCTCGCATCAGCCATTACATGTATTTTTTGCTGGATATACATGGTAAAACTCTTGTATCTGTACCCAGCTTTAATTTCTGCCTTATATAATAAAGCTTGCCATGAAGGATTAGACCTTTGTTAGCTTGTTATGATTGCATAACGTTGACCATGTCTGTCTGAGAATTTCACTAGTTAATCTCTGCAATGATAAGTGAAGAAGATACTCTATGGGTGTACTCAGAACAACTAACGAATGCAGGTTCTCACAGGATTGCTGATTGCAGAAGTCAATGTAAATACCATGTGTGAACTTGGCTCTGGTGGTGTCTCCCTGGTGAGTAACTGTTGTCGAGATGTACTTAATAACATGTATACCTTACAAGTTTACATATATGTCCTCATGTACCTTTCATTTCGTGTTACATCAGTGTGTCTAGAACCTTCTAGGAATCTGGTATAAATACTAGATCCCGCTCTCCTTGTAAACAGTTTTTGATCAATAAAGTTAGAGTTCTTCTTTCACGAGTGCTGGGAGCCTATCAGAGCTCCAGACCGTGTGTTATCTCGACAACGGTAACCTATCTTTTTCATATATGAAGTACAAACAGCAGGTTTTGAACTTCCCACCATTATGATGCTTGATAGGAATAACAACAAATGGCTAATATGAAGCAAAATTTCCCTTAAGAAAGTTGTAGGACTTAATTGTTTGCCTGACTGATGGAAGGTTTCATAGAGCTTAGTTCTGTAATATAGTGTGGAAGATGCAGAGGGATATATATCATGTCCTGAGTGATTTGTCTCACATATCGATAGGACACCCTCACTTAGGCTTGGAGCTTGGAGGGGGCTGGCATGTTGATGGTATTAGTTTGTCCTTTCCCCTCTTGTCTGGGATGTGCCCTGTTGCGGCCTCACTGATTGGTGAAGGAAGGAGATTCAAAAGGCATCCTCCAAAGTGGCTTGTATTTCTTCCATGTCATGTACACCCTAAATCCTTGGATCAACAAAAGCAGAGACAATAATCTGTCGTTTCGAGCTAACTTTGAATCTTCTTTTTCGTTACTGAGATATTAAGCATTGCCTCAAATGTACAAATATCAACATAGATTGTCACTAAAGAATATTGTTTCGGCTTGATCTTTGATGTTTCAGTGCATATATCAGTTTCCAGGGGGACAGCCTATGGAAAACTGATGGTCAATAATTGATATATCTTAATGAGTAACTCAAGAATGCTCTCTTCATGCTCCCCAAACCTCATATTAGAATGATGTCGTTTGAGTGAAAATCTTCTCAAATTTTGAATGGTTGATGTCCTGCAATCCATATGCTTCCTTGAGGGCGACATCATGAGTCACCTGTCAGAATATCTGTTGATCTGAATTATGTATATTTTTTAACATTTTGCATGATAAAGCATGAAAACAATGTTAGATCAGAAGCACAGTGCTAATGACAGGATAATAAGAGCTGTGAAAGGACAATGTTTGTATCATGGTTGGAATAAAAAAAATGTTCACACTCATAGCAGGCATCTGTTTGACCCTCTCCTTGCTTCTCTGAAACGCATTATGGTTGCAAGAGAAGATGAGTATTTCTGTATGTTCTTATGAAGAAAATATTCAACCCAAGGGAACCAACAATAAACAGCATCCTTGTTGTTCTCAATCATAGTTTTGATGCTGGCCTTGACCCCATTGGTATCCTTTTACTTGTTTGATTTAAAATGAGAATTTATGGGATTTTCCATAGGTCAGACTAGCAACACTATATTATTATTCTTTCTATAATTGTTATAATACTGTCCTAATTATGATTTTATTATAAGGCATAGTTCCATGCATGCCTAGTAAACACTATTTGGCGCCAAGGAAAGGAGGGGCGCTGAAAAACCATGGTCGTTCTAACAAATACTTACATATCCTTGATGGATTCACCAGCTAATGAAATTCTTAGCAAACCTTCATTTGAATTTCACGAAATCTTCACAAGCCTTGTCTGGGAAGTGATGAACGAAATCTATTGACAGGCATTTGCGCAATTACTATATATTGATAGGGGAATTGACCTTTGGCCTTGGGATTTTCCAGGTATCCATGGCTATGAGAACTTTGGGAAAGGTTGGAGTTCAGGTTGCATGGTATGTTGGTAAAAATATTTCTTTGCCAAGGTCTTAGTGTGATGGTCCTTTATTGGTGCCATGTTTTCATATCCTTCTTGCTCTTATTTCTTGGTTTGCTTGGTCATTTACCATCGGATTATGTAGATTTGAATGTTGCTGGGCACAAATGTGGCCGTATTTGGCATAAGCACATTGTTTTTTAACATAATCATTCAGGTTATGCAAATTAAAATAAGTTCAAGGATCCATTAATCTTGATTGCTTTTGGTCTAAAATGAAGTCTATAGTGATTTCAATGTTTTCTCCTGTGAAATTATATCATATGTTTAGTTTCATTTTGATAAACTATAGCTTTGTTATATCAGAAACATTGAAAAAAGTTGCTAACAATGTTCAAAATACAGTTTAAACATTTAACTGAATAAATATGAATCTTCTGAACTGTTGCTAGAAGTTAAAGTAGACAGTTGTATAAAGTTCAGTTAAACGTCCAGTTTTGCTCATCTGGTCAGTATTATTACATGTTTGATGAAGATCTGGAAGTTTTAAGAAATGAAGAGAAAATTTATGATTATATCCATCTGCGAAGAATGAAGATGCTGTCACTTCTAATTCTCTCCATATTTTTGGTGTAGACATTTCCTTTTTTTTATTTATTTATTTGTGCTTTGGTTTCGAACCTGTGCTACTTATTTTCTAAGTAAAAAGCTTTTAATGTATCCTATTCTAGTACTGATTATGGTTGTTTTATGATATTTTCATTTAAAAAATTAATGTCAAATTATTTAAGTTAAAATTCCTTAAATTTAAACAGATATGGGAAAAGAATAATTATCAAATCTCTTCGCTTTCACATAAACGTTACTATGAGATTGTTGAAATGCATTTCATATACGTAGTAATATTTATATTAAATCTTTTCGTGCAATATCTAAGTTATGCAAAGCTAGAGATAGTCTTTGAAGGGTTTTTTTTTTCATTCTGACGTATTTAAAATAATTTTTCAATATTACAAACTTTATGAGAAATTTCAATTATCCTGCATTTTATCCATTATATGCTGGCCTGCCTGGCACCCATATGGGAGCCCATTGTTTGCTTTCTTAGTGGCTGGCCTTAGAGTAAAAGCTAGTGATTCCGACTCCTAGGTTTGAAATTGCACTCGTAAAGATTGCAAATTTTCTTGAAAAATCGCAGTTGGTAAGTACAATTTATAACAGTGAAATCACAGTGGGAGAATGCTGATCTCCTTAGAGTTCATAACTTGTCCATGGGCTGATGGCCATTTTGGGTTTAGAATACTTTTCGTCTCGATTCGAAAGTAACTTTGTAGCTGAAAGCTAAAAATAGTTCAAATACAAAATGCCAATGCATATTGTAAACTCTTTGGTATTAATGAAGATTCAGATTTTCCAATGATCTAATGTTAAGTTATTATATTTAAGTATTGCAATATAAGATAAAGTCGATTAAATCCACATGAATATAAATATAGGACAGCTAAAATTTCTAATTGGAAGCTAAGTTGAGAAAAATAATTTGTTAAAGAGGATTTTAACTTTTGACATATGCTTTGGGATTGAAGATAAAATTCATTGAGCTGTAGGTAAAGTTACTAATTCTAGCAGAAACTGGACTATCAGTACGATTTTCAGTTAGTGTGGTAGTTTTCAATACCACTGCCTACGACACTAAAAGTGGCAGCCATCAATTTTAATTATTCCAGCACATCACTTATCCCAAGGTAACTGATGTCTGGCGTGATTACATGGAAGTCACGTTGCCTCACTTGTTATTTTGAGATTTGTGTTTCATATGTAAATCAGAAATCAATTGCAACCTAGCCAACATAATTTTGAATCAATTAGTTTGACAATTAATTGATGATTGCACTACGTATTGATTTACACTCTCATTTACTGATGGGATATTTCTTAATATATCTTGGCGATGAGTCCTATGAGTATAATAATTTCATTTTTTATTTTGTATTGATGAGTATTTATCCTTACAAACTTTCTGCATAACCTTCAATCTAATGGAAGAGTGACCTGCCATAAATATAGTTCATTTTTGCTAACATAAATGTTTTGTTGCAGTGGGTCTTACATCTTTATACACTATGCTCTTCTAGTTGCCTATGTGGCGCGCACTTCAGATATTTTGACGAACATCCTTGGTATCCCATTGTATGAACTATGACCTCCTCTCCATCTAGTGTATAAATAAATGAATCAGTGCAGTTTTTCCCTCATTTAATTATTTGCTGGTTTTAGTTCTGAAGAATGTGTTTGATGACATTAAATTTGAGGATAAAATTTATGATTATGATGTTCTTGTTATGCTTTTTTTTTAACGTAGTCATGAAAAGTGTCATTCATAACACATTAACCATGCTTGTGGAATTGAATGTTATTTTCACATTCTTAAGATTTGTAGGAAAGTTGCACTATTCTTGTTGGTAATAATTTATTTTCAAGGTGGTATATTGGTAAGAACCTGATCCAGAAAAGAATATAATTTCTTTTGAGAGGAATGGGAACAGGGGTTGGGGGTAGAGATGTGGAAACCAAACCGGTTCTGCCACGACAGACAGAAGATCTCTGGAGACTTTGGGACCAAATGTTTCTTTATGCCTCCTTTACAATTGAGCTCCCTTATGTATAACTCTCAGCCTTCCTCTTTGCACGTGGACACCTGCTAACATCCATATGCATCGGTTGGATCGGAAGAAGTTGGAAGCTTCTTCTGTCTTGAGTATGTCTTGATGGGACGCTTATCAATACTCTCCATGGCTTTCACCTTGTCCTCAAGGTAAAATGTCGGGAACTCTACAATTGAATAGATACAAGTTCCCATGAGGCTTCAAAGTTTGGTAAATTTCACCACTGATGAGAACTTGCAAGCTTTCTGGAGTATCTCTCACTACTAGTACATCTACTAGGTCGAGCATCCACTCAATCTCGTTAGTCAAGGTAGGAGGTAGAGGTTGACTATGATGAGGAAGTCCCAATACCTTGCGAAGGTTAGACACATGAAATAGAGGGTGGAGGGACAAGTAGGGTGGAAGATCAAGCTTATAGGCCATTGGTCCAATTCTTTCTAGGACATGATAAGGCCCAAAATATCTTGGGCTAAGCTTTTCGTTTGCTTTCTTAGCAAGCGATTGCATCCTGTAAGGCCTGAGTTTCAGATAGACATAGTCATTAACATCAAATTGAATGTCCATTTGATGTTTAACTGCTTAGATCTTCATTTGGACTTAAGCCTGCTTGAGATGTCTAAAGTAGGTCGAGAGTTTGATTTCTTTCGATGAAAAGTTGATCCACCGCATCAATGGGAGAAGCCGGTGATCCATAACAGATAAGTGTGGGTGGATCTCAGCCATATACTACCTTGAATGGTGCCATCTTTATAGATGTGTGGTAGGAAATATTATAGCTGTGCTCAACCCAGTGTAACCATGCTGAGCTGTTTAGGCTTGTCAATTGCAAAACACTTTTTAGTAATTCTCCAAGCACCTATTAACAACTTTAGTCTGACCATCAATTTGAGGATGGTACAATGAACTTATCCTCAATTTAATCTCCTGGAGAGTATATAATTCTCACCAAAATATGCTCATAAAATCAATGCCATGGTAAGAGATTATAGTCTTTGGAAAACTGTGTAATTTTTTATTCTCCCTAGCAAAAAACTTATAGCATCTTTGGCCAAGAAAGGGTGCTTTAGGGCAAGAAAATTACCATATTTACTAAGTCGATCAGTAAACATGAGAATAGAGTCGTTCCTTACTAATTTTGGCAATCCTTCGATGAAGTCCATTGAGAGGTCCTCTCATATTTGATTTGGAATGAGCAGTGGCTGTAAGAATCTTGTTGGTGCTAGTGAGGATGATTTGTTCTATTGGTAGATGGAGCAGCTGTTCACATGCTGCTTGATTTGCTTCATTGCTGGGCAGTAAAGGGGCTGAGCAATTCATTTGTAAGTCTTTAGGTGACTGGAGTGTCTGCGTACTATATTGTCATAGTATTCCTTCAAAAAGATCTGAATGAGTGATGAGGAAGGGGGCAATACTAGTATCTCTTTGTAAAGAAGCAATCCTTGGCGTATTGAATAATTTGGAAATAATCTCAAGTTGTTGAGTAAGGCCTATTTGATGGTATGGAATCTGGTATCCCTCTCCACTTCCTGATTGATGGTGGCACTGTCAAGGAAATGAGAAGTAAATACCGAATTTAGCCTTGAGTGTGGAAGGAGGAGATATTGACAGAGCATCAGCGACCTAGTTTCTTTTTCCTTGTATTTAATTTCGAAGTTGAAGCCCATTAACTTTGTCAGTCATTTGTGATATTCATGATGAACTTCCCTCTGATCAAATTAGAATTTCAGGCTATATGATAAAGTGCTGAAACATCAAGTGATTTTTCAATATGTGCACTGCCATTACAATGGCAATTAGTTGTCTCTCAAATGCCAATTTTGATCTCGATTTCATTGGTAATGCCTGATAGAAGTAATGGGTCTGTCATGCTGCATGAGCACTGCCCTAACTCTTAAACTAGAGGCATTTGTCTCAACTTTGAAGGATTAAGAGAAATCAGGTAAAGCCAACACAATCACTGAAGACAGCCATTTTGAGCTGCTCAAATGCTTGCTATGCTTGGTTAAACAATGAAAATCATCCTTTTTTAGGAGTTGATTAAAGGGCAAGGTGATGGATGCATACCTAGCTACAAACACACGGTAGTATCCAGTCAGCCCATGGAACCCTCTTAATTCACAGGGGTTCTAGGCACATGCCAATTGAAGATGGCTGAGATCTTCCCTCTATCTGTAGATACACCTTCTGAAGACATCTAGTGCCCATGTACTCTAGCTGTTTTTGGCCAAATTGACATTTTTTGGTATTAATATGCAGAGAATTTTGAGACAACATATGGACAACCTATTGTATGTGCTGCTCGTGATCATCCTTAGTTTTGCTGTAGACAAGAATGTCGTCAAAAAACACTTGGACAAATTGACGCAAGTAAGGGTGGAAAATATGATTCATTTGAAATGTAGTTGGTGTGTTGGATAATCCGAAAGGCATCACCTTAGATTCATAATGACCATGATGAGTTTTAAAAGCCATCTTCAATATGTCATTTTCCTTCATACGTATCTAATAGTATCCTGAGTTTAATTCAAGTTTAGAGAATGTAGACATACTGTATAACTCGTCCAATAATTCGTCAACCATCGGGATTGGAAATCGGTTGGGCACTATCACTTTGTTTAAGGCTCAGTAGTCAATACAGAAAAGCCAGCTTCCATCTTTTTTTTGACTAATAAAGCTTGGCTTGCGTAGGGGCTACTAGTATGACAAATTACCCCTGTTGATAAAAATTCTTGAACAAGTCTTTTGATCTCATTTTTTTAGAAGAAAGAGTACCTATATGGCCTGAGGTTGATTGGTTGAGTGCCTAAAATGAGGTTGATCAAGTGATTGATCATGTATTGAGGGGTTAATTTGTAATTCGGTGTGAACACCTCGGGAAACTCATGCCTTGAGAACCCGTATCTACTCTATTACAGCAATTTCTGATGTTTCGCCTGATGACAAGGTGAAAGCCATGGGAGTATTGATAAGCTTCCCATCAAGACATTCTCAAGAAGGAAGAAGCTTCCAGCTTCTATGGGTCCAACCGCCGCACATGGAAGTTAATAAGCATCCACACGTGAAGGAGAGGGCTGAGGTTTATAAATAAGGAGACTCAGTTGTATAGGGGGGCGTAGAAAAGATAATTGGTCCTAGAAGTTCCTGGAGGTTCTCTACCTGTTTGTTGTAGAACCAATTCGGTCTCCACAACTCAACCCTTCTTTCCCTAAACCCTGTTTCCTGTTTCCCGTTTCCCTTGAAAGAATCCTATTCTTTTCTGGATCAAGATTCTTACCATTATATTTATACTTGACTGTCTAATGCTGCAGTTTTACATGCGTGACTGACTCTATTAAAAACGAGGCAGTATACAAGCCCATAAAACCTCATGCTTAAAAATATCACATGAGAGCTGAAAAATGAGTTTACTGAGGGCATTTATTGAATTTTTGTGGGAAAATGTTGTTAATATCTGTGAACTTTGGAGTTTAAATTTTAAATAGTGTCACATTGACGTTTATTTCCTGCAAGATTAATCAAAAATCTGCACTCAGTTATTTTTTGTCTATCGAGAATAAATTGGTAGCATCCTGGCAAATATTCCTGAAATTTCCCTGTAGAGATCCGTCTTAATCACAATGTTTATTTTTGACTGTTGATATGATTTGCTTACAGATGGGAAGGCGCCACCTTATTTTCCTTGGTGTTTGGAAGCATATGCTACTTTGGAAGGTACTTTCTATTTTCTTCAGTGGACAAAGTGCTTTAACCAAAATGAAAGTACGGTTCAATATTGAAATATTGAACGCCATTATTTAATGAATTGAAGATGAATCTGGTAAAAACTCAGATTCATGATTTGAGTTTGAAAGAGGCGATTCTATCCCAGATGCAGAAAACACATCTATTCAAACGAATAAGTTGATTTTCTCCGGCTCGAGAGGTTGAATGCAGAAAAAAAAAAATCTGTGTTGTGTAAGGTTCACATTTTATGAAGCACAGAAAAGGGAAAGAGGTCTATTTTACTTATATGTTACATCATTACATTGATTTTCTAGTACTAGTATCATTTGGGCTCCTGAGATTAAGAAATACTAATGATGTGGGATTAATTTTGCATTTTCTCGGTTTGTTGCATCCAGGTGAAGTTTTTAAATTCTTAATTAGAAAAGGAAGAACACTCATTACGAGATTTTGTCTTTGTATAGCCAGAGATTTATTGGCGCGGCAAATGGGCTTCTGATATTTGGTATCATAGCTTCTTTCACTGTTCTTGTGGTAAGATTTCATAACATATCTGTCGTACTGTCTTTCTTGCCGTGATTGAGTTCTTGAGATATTAATAAACTTAGAAGAAGAGAACTACCTTGCCTTTCACGCCATAGTGCAGTTCATTTTCAGTTTTTTACGTCACTTATTGCGAACAGAATATCACTGGATAGGATAGTTTCATTTTCCATTCAATTGGTCACTTGTAATCTGGTGAGTACATGTTTTCTAGGAATATGGTTACCCAGCTGAGTTTTGGGCCAGTGCTTGCAGCGTCTGTGAAGCCATGATCGTTGCACGAAATTTGGGGCATTGCAATCAGGAATTTTCCAAAGTTGAGAGTAACTCAATTTCGTAGATATTCTTAAAATGTGTTCTGATAATTTTCTAAAAACCTCATTTTTGTCACTATTAGGTAGAATAAAGAAATGATGTCCAATAATTCATTGGTTTTCTTCCAGCTTATCCGTTCCGTGTCCTACATTCCTAATATTACCTATCGTTGATTGTTTTTTGATCTTTTTGAATGGATTTTCAGTTTTTTTAATGTGCGTGATATTCTTCCCCTTAAATATAAAAACAGCTTATCCGTTCCATTTTGGTTCATTCGTAATATTAACTATCTTCAAGTGCTCCGATCCTTATGACTTGCTTTATTAAATTGATTTACTCGTGTTCGGTGGATTTATTATTTTGAACTGTTTGATTGGAATATCGCCTACCTGCTGGGTTAATGATAGAGAATTGAATGGAATCCTTTTAAGGGCGCAGCTGGTGGGGATTTGAAATTGGATTCCCTTCTCCAAACAAACTTTGCAGCAGTTCCACATAGTATACCCATAATTTCCCTATCATTTGTTTACCAGGTATTCCCTATCTGTGATCTTATTATTTTATTATCTTTGGGCAACAATGGTCGCTCACTTTATTTTCAGAATGTAGTGCCAGTTCTCTGCACAAATCTTGAGGGGAACCTGTCGAAAGTAAGGTATGCACATGCTATACTTTGATCCTAAGACCTGTGATCCCTGTTCGATGATTGATCTTCTGGTTTAAGAAAATCGGAAATAGTGCTTCTTGTCCAGAATTCTTCTGATTACTACTTCCATGCATAATTTCTATTTGATAGTGTCACCAGGGGTGTCTCTGGTATGGTTGGTTGCTATCATTCATGAACATAGGGTCTCATTAAATTGCTCATCCGACCAGTATACTGTTTCACACAAAGAATAATGTAGATAAGAGTTTGTGTTCATTGGATAATGAGAGTTCATCTTCTCCTCGGCATGTGATCTTGTGATCGATGTGGTTCCCTATCATTGTTTCATTCTCTTTTATTTTACTTGTCTGACGCAGTTCTTTTTACGTGGAGCTTTCAGGACTTCCATCATTTTTGGAACTGCGATTCCGCTTGTGTTGTTCCTTATTTGGGATGCCGTGATACTCGGAAGCATTCCCAATATTGGAGCCAATGGTGATAAAATCGCAGATCCCTTAGAGTATCTGCGGTCCAACAGCGGAATGGTTGGAGTAAGTATGATTTTCCATATAACGTAAAGCAGCATCTGGTTTCTCTCCTCTTTGGAATGGGATGAATGCGAATGGCAGCTGTCTGTTCCTTCAGAATCCTCGTCATTATGTTAACTATGTTACTATTAATGACAGCCTATTATTGAAGTTTTCTCACTTCTGGCCATTGCCACCTCATACATTGGGTTTATTCTGGGCCTCGCAGACTTCCTTTCTGACTGTAAGTGGAAGATGCAACCATCCGTTGATGCCCTAGATTTGTAGTAAACAATCCTCTGTTTTGACTCACTGCCTGTGTGGGTGGACGGACCCTGTTTTTGATCAGTGCTGAAGCTTCCCAGTGGGCAGAGCAAGCCTCTGCCATACCTGCTCACGCTGGTTCCTCCCCTGATCTTATCACTACTGGATCCTGAGATATTTTTCAAGGCTCTGGATTTTGCAGGGACTTATGGAGGTAAAGTGAAGCAAAGTGATTCTTCTTCTTAATCTGATTGTGTCATGTTTTGGTAATCATCCCCAGATTTGATGCGATTTTCTTCTATTTGCTCCAGTTCTTGTGCTTTTTGGAGTTGTTCCAGCTGCCATGTCGTGGTCCGAGAGGTACTCAGATCCAGCTAAATCCCCTGCACTCCCTCCCATCGTGCCTGGCGGAAGATACACCCTCTTCTTTGTGATGGCTGGTGCCGGATGCGTTATCCTCTCCCAGATTCTCGACAATTTTACCCACTGATCGCTCTCTCTCTCTCTCTCTCAAATGGGCACAACAAAGAAAGGGCTTTCAGAGGAAAACTGGGTGCCATTTGATTTTAGGCACCTATCAGTGATCTTAGACACCAAACCAGCTGGGCATCATGATCTCTAGCAAAAATGAGGGCGGAGAACGTAAAGATTCTGAATGCAATGATATTTTCCTCTGCTTTGGGAACAGAACGTTCTTCAGGCAACGGTGGTCGTGCCGTGCGGAGGTGAGAAGATTATATATATATATATATATATATATCTATCTGGAATGTTGTAAGGGAATAGAAGGTGAGATGATGAAATGAAGCCCACGGAATGAAAGAAGGGGGCGTCTCATCGTCGAGGAGCAACGGATGGGAGAGTCAGTGGGTCGGACCCAGAATAAATCTGGATGGAGCACGTGATTGGGATTAGGCTTGATTTCGGTGCTTAAATCTAGAGATGGGCCGGGCTTACACAATACGAGCCCATTGACATCTCGGTCGTGTGGGCCGGGCCGGACCAGGCTCTTGCAGCTCGGACCGAGGGGGTGAGCCCTCGCGATCGGACGTGCTGCGCAATGCCACGATGCGTGCCATCTACGGTTGTGGCACCTGATTCGCACGTGTGGCTCGCTTCTTATATACCTGTGCTTAGACGGCAACGTCGTCAGCAGTATCGTGAAGGTAGCCGCTAGGGTTATCCATCATCGTCGCCTCTCCACGACTCTGACCGCCGGGCTCCACGCCGATCAATGGCCGCCGCCTTCGCCGATCTGCACACGGATGCCGGCCTCTCTACTCTAGAGGAATACCTTTCGAACAAGACCTTCATCTCCGGGTATGTTCTTCCGGGGAGCGGATTGTCCCCTTTCGACTCCTACTTCGGGCCTTACTAAGCTTCAGTGGGTTTTTTGCTGCTGAAATTCGTACATCGGAAGCTAGATCTGATATTTTTTTGATACTCATTGTAGCTCTATCTGACTAATGATCTTCTCTCGGTAGTTTAGAATTCTAGTCGAAACTTGAAGACTGATCCCTCTCTTCTGTTCCCCTGATATCTTTCATAACTTTCAGAAATGAAATCAGTAAGGATGATGTCAAGGTTTACGCTGCAGTGCCCAAGAAGCCTAGTGGTGGGTTCCCTAATGTGAGCCGCTGGTACGACAGTATCGCTTCCGTTCTCGCCGGAAGGTTGGCTTTCTTTCTTCCAATGCTCTTTTTATTTTTCTTGTTTCCAATATCTTAACTCTGTCTGCTGTCTTTTCCGGGTTTTGGTGATTCGTTTTTTAATCTTTTGTTTCCTTTCCTATTTTACCCGCATTTTTCTTCTACATTTTTCGTCCATTTCTAGGATAGGATTTCAATAGATACATGGGTACGTTTGAGAAGTTGTCATCAGTCGTCTCATCTAGCCTTAGGAAAAATCACACCAGAAAAATGAAGTAATCTCAAGTTTTGGCGCAATTCATTTAATTTGATGGGATACGTTTAATTTGTTGCGCTGCATCCGATTGTCCTGCCTTCCGTCAATGCGAAGTTGGGGCTCTATGCATCTTCTATTATACGGTTCATGCGTTTTTGTTGCCTTCATTGTCATATGATGATGATGATCGGTTGATATTATTTACATGATATTGGTGGTAGTGCAACTGATTTGGCAGTCCACCGAAGACTTCAGTTTAGTACTATTTTGAGGAACATTGGTGTCCGAGACACGTTTGCCGCACTCTCACTGTCCCTCATGAGTTCTATGGACACCATTCTATTTATTTGCATGCATATTTAGATCTATATATTTTTGTGATTTTGTACGAAAAGTGATCACCTTCACGAAGAACATTAGTTCAAATGACGTGGGGATGTAAATGGGGGGAAGTTATTGAGAGTGTTTGCCTTTCTTGGGCATTAACCATGAAAATCTGGATTTATTGTCATGATATCCGGAATCAACCCGCAGTGATCCATATCTGTAGATTCTAATTTCTTTTAGTTTTAGCTGTTCCATTGGAGGGTAAGTCGAATGCCCCCATGAAAATAGGAAAAAAAGATGAAACACAGAGTTCACCGATTCAATTGGAATGTACTTGTTTAGTACTCCAGATCACTATTGACTTCCATCATCTGCAGTTGGCGTGGACACTTTTGGGTAACCTTTTGTGCACATCCACTTCACCCCGACGACCCACACCCTCAATCCCCATACCCTCCTAAAAATGTGGAGAACAATCTCTGTGGCCTGCTCTGGTCTATCCTTCCTTTTTATCCATTGTTACGTGTTCCTAATTTTCACACTTCTTTCTGCCCTCATGACACAATTTATGAATATCGTGATATTTTATGAGTGGTTTTCAGTATCTTTTCGTATGGGTTATTTTTGTCAGAAACTTCGTAACACAAAGTAGTTTGGAATGTGTCTCATAGGGCCTGCCTATCTGGGCCTCCTGAAGTTGGAAACTACCTTCAAATATTCCCCATACTTTTTATTTTTATTTTTCGTGATCAGTCTCCATTGGCATTTCTTCTCATTAATTTAGTGATTGTTCAGTTTTCATTTATAGATATATGTCGCCACTATTTTTCATACAGTTGATCTTATGCCATTGCTAAATCATTGTTCTGAGTATATTTATTTCACCTCGCCAGGTTTCCGGGTGAAGCTGTTGGGGTGAGAATTGGTGGCCCAGCTGCAGCTGCTGCAGCCCCCGCTGCATCTGGAGCAACACCAAAGGTAATAACTTTGCTCTCAGACATTTATAACTTTTTCTCTAAACACTAGGTTTGATTTATGTGTATAGATATATCAATCTTGGAAGGTCTTTTTTCATGATTTATATAACATCAGTTACACTAATTAACTTCTCCATACGTAATTCTATATAATATTTAATGTTAGTGTTTATTCAGATGCCTAATGGTTGCTGCAACTAATGATTGCGTAACGAAGAGATGTTTTGGATCTCATAACCTTTTATTCTTGAGGATGTCCAGGAGGAGGAGGATGATGATGATCTGGACCTCTTTGGTGATGAGACTGAGGAGGAGAAAAAGGCTGCAGAAGTGAGGGAGACGGCCAAAGCATCGTCTAAGAAGAAAGAGAGTAAGCAACTAAATATGTGTTTGATTTCTTCCCAAAGATTATGCGTGAGCATTTTGATATCCTTGTTCAGCATGGTTTATCCCCATCCCTTAATCTCTCCTCCTGGCCCAATGGAACTCGGAATTCCTGGGAATTCTTGGCTCAGGTCTGTTTCCCCTTGCATCTGACCACCTGACCACTCTGCAGACGTCTCCAGCCCATATCCTCTCTCTCCCCTTCTTCTGACATCTTTTCTCTCTTTCTTGCTTCTCTCTTACCCCTTCTCTCTCTCTCTCGCTCGCTCGCTCGCTCGCAACCCGGCTTGTCGACGTCCCTGACGACATTAACATTTTTCTCTCTTCCACAGGTGGGAAATCGTCGGTGCTCATGGACGTGAAGCCCTGGGACGACGAGACCGACATGAAGAAGCTCGAGGAAGCTGTGCGTAGCATTGAGATGCCCGGCCTTTTCTGGGGAGCATGTACGTTCTTCCTTCCCACCCACCCATCCTTAACGCTTCTCTCTTTTTGTAAAACGCATTTTCTCTGGAGACCGACATAAAATGTCTTCTCCTCTCCTTCTCGCTCTCTCTCTCTCTCGGGCTCTTCTTCACTGCTCTTATGGGTTCCCTTCTCTGTCTACTGCAGCCAAGCTGGTTCCTGTGGGCTACGGCATCAAGAAGCTGCAGATCATGATGACCATCGTCGACGACCTCGTCTCCGTCGACGACCTCGTCGAGGAGCGTCTAACAGTGGAGCCCTGCAACGAGTACGTCCAGAGCTGCGACATTGTTGCCTTCAACAAGATCTGAGTCGCCCACCCGCCCCCTCCCTTCCTTCACTGCCCTAAATGCCCATTCCTTTGAGAGAAGCGAGAGAGAGAGAGAGAGAGAGAGTAATCAATCGTAGCTGGGCGTCGCCCCCGCGACTTTATTTATTCCCAAGTATCGTCTAGAGCTGTAATGTGCTCATTTTGCCTTTGGATGTGGTGAGAGATTTATGTAGACTTTGGCGAGTGCTGGATCCCCTACCTAGACAGTGTTGGTTTTTTTCCTTCGTAACTTGTTCGAGTCTTTCAGGGCCCCATACTGTTTGGGATCGTCCACCTTGCCCCCGACCAGACTCAAGGTTTGTCTACAATGAGAGCTGAGGGGGGGATAGGGATACATTGTCTTCGAGTGGATAGACGACTAGATCGGGTAGTAAATTGACAGCCCTTCACAGATAATAATAATAATAATAATCGCGATAATAATAGTGCAATGACTTGTTGATCCAAGATATACTAAAATTAAAAATAATATCCTCTCAAACAGTATGAACTTCAAGGTGCATGCACATTATTTTTCTGAACTAAGCCACCGAAGAACAATCAGACGAGGCCGAATCAAGAGAACCCACAGGCAATCACAAGTAGAATGACGCCTCATCTGACTGCAGAGTAGCTAGCAAACATCCAGAGACAGACCGGAGATGAAATAAAAATATAAATGACTACCAATGCAGCATCTCCACAGGCCTAAGCCTATGGAGAAACAAAGAAAATCCCTAACCTTGTGTCAAAGACTCAACAGGAGAAGAGGGAGAGAGGGAGGGAGAGAGAGAGAGAGAGAGAGCCTAGCAATGATTAGTTACCCACTAGGTGGTGAGCTCCATGATGGCAGAGACAATGTCGCCATCAGCAGCCTTGAGGGCCTTGACGGCCTTAGCCCTGGAGACGCCAGCCTGGGTCATGACCAGCTCGACGTCCTTGGGCTCAACGCCAGTCTCATCAATCTCCTCCTCTTCCTGGGCTGCAACGGAGGGTTCCGTCTTGGGGGCTGTGTGGATGTGGTCGGTGGCCTTGAACTGCTGGGCGGCTTGAGTCTGCAGCTGGGAGCTCAGGTCCTCGATCTTTGCTTCCCCAAAGATCACGTAAGTGTCAGAGTTCGGGCTCTTGAACACGTCGGGCTTTGAGATCACGAACATGATCTAAATGAGACGGAATTTCTGATCAGCACGAAGCTGCGGTAGACTATGCATCTGATCAATCAATCAATTATAGATGTAACATAAGACGGAGAGGGGGGAGAGAGAGAGAGAGAGAAAGAGAGGAGCCTGACGTTCTTGCTCTTCTTGACAGTGACGCGGCTGACGCCCAGAATGGGTTTCATCCCCAGCTTCAGCATTGCCTTGCGGCTCTTTTTCTCACTCCTGCTCTGCTTCGACCTCCCGTTGGCATCCCCTCCAAGTCCTGAAAAAGAGATAAGATGGGCAAAACTTAAGGGAAACATTCACGTTCACAGCGTACATGTCTATTGTTTTCTATTGTTTTCTATCGTTCTTATCGTTAGTATATGAAAAAAGGCTTCTATTTAGTAGTTCTGCATTCTTGTTAGATTACCAAATATATGGTACTGATATAAATAAAATGATCTAAATCTTTCTGCAACCGAGGCTCTACCTTCAACGTCATCTTCATCCTTGTCATCATCCTCATCATCTTCATCGTCATCTTCCTCATCTTCAACAATGGGTTCATCCGGCTGCAAAGATAAAACTACCAGATGTAACACTTGAAGAAAATACCTGTCAAAATAATCTTCACATCCAAAATATAAAAGCTGTTCGAAGGGAATAATCAGCTAGGGTTCAGATCCACAAAAGTTCAAAAATCATCACAACTAGTAACTGGGGAAGAACGTCCTAGGCATAGAAAATGGGAATAAACTTCTGACCAAAGCTCGTGATCACCGTAAAATGAAGCCAAATAAAAGACGTTTCCCTGAAATTAGGTCGTATTTTCATTTAGTGTGGATGCAAAACTTCATCCATCACATGACTAATAATCGCAGATTTCTGGTTGCTATGGGGTTTTATAGGAACCCCACTACCTCACCATCACCCATTGGGCAGCAATGGCAACCCAAGAGAGACACCTGATTCCCAGGCGGCCTTGGCCTTGTAAAACTTCTCACCTTCATCATCAGACCAAACTGATGCGAGGGGCTGCCCAGACAACACCTTAAAGATCATGAGCGATCAAAAACCAATAATAGGATAGATAGACCAAAATCTAAGAGCGAAAAGAAGGGGAAAAAATGAATACATTCTAGAGGCATGTGATTCTATATAGTACAGAAAGGAAACGTTCATCATTGATGTTGGAATTTTTCCGTTTAAGATACCAACAGGGGAGCAAAGGCAATGTGAATTGCATCAATGATTAAACAGAAAGATAATGAATAAAATTATTTTGGCAAGCAATAAATGGAAACAACCATATAACATCAAGAACAGAATCGATATTCAAATGGGAGGCAAACTATAATTCAGAAAAAACATAAAAAACAAACTATGCAAGGAACAGAATATGTAAATAGACTCTTGGATCTGTCAGTCTGAAATAGCAGGAGACCAGAACTAGTCTATCCATAAGGCTGTACATGCTGCATTCCTACAATGGTTGATCTTGATGTAAGTGGTCTCCCATAAGAGACTAACGTGAATGTGTCAATAGCAAGGCAAGGCACATCATGATCAAAATCCTAAATTATATGGAGCTAATAAACCTCACAAAATCTCCGTCAGATGGAAATAGCCTCAAGCTTCAAAGAATTAAGAAGTCTAATAAAAATTAAAACAAGCCAAGTGAATACAGAGCGAACAGGACGAACGACACTGTCGACCTTTATCGATAAATTCAAACATTTTCAAACCTAGTTTGATCGAACCTTGGAGACAAAATTCGTTCTCATCTCCCCAGTTACAGAAATTTTTTAAGGTAAATTACAAAAGCGAAATTACAAATGTTTACTTTCTTCACTGGCCAACGTCCAAAGTGTCTTAGATCAGAAATCAAAAGAAGGGGTCATAAATTCAGTTTAAAGAACAGAAGATTCGAGAGCATTTAAAAAGAACTCTGCTAACTAGACTAATTTAATGGCAAAGGAAATCGCATATAATCTAACTCACACCTAGCGCACCAGGAAAGACATTGGAGAACATAGGGAAGAGAAAACGTGAGAGAGAGCTCACGTCGATTTTCTGCTGCTCGAGGTGGGCGGCGAGGAGTTCCTCCTGCGTCTGTGCCGTCATGTTTCCGCGAGAGTGAGGGTGGGAGAGCGGCAAATAGAGAACGCGAAGAAACCCTAAAAACCAGCCGCGGATGATGAGAAAGCAATGCTGCTACGGTGGGGAAGATAAAACTGTGGGGTACGTGTGGTGGGCAGAGCCGCTGGACATTCTAACTACTACGTTAACCCCGAAATTGATCCTTATTACGAAACAGCCACAAGCAGGGACAGGCGAAGAAAAGTCCTGTCGGCCCCAACCAGCCCAATAACGTACAAATTGCTTCATAAAGAATTTGTCTATAATACAAAGTCTATTTAAATGATTAATTAGTTTAAGTAAAAATATTAATTATATATTTTTGTAGAAGTTGAGTGATTAAGATACTCAAATCAATAAATTTTCATGAAGTGAAGTATGAAATGACAAATTAAGTAAGTAAAATCGTATAATTCTTGAATTATATCTAATATTAGGTGATTTGGTGGGTGATACTGTTTCCAACTCAACCTACCTCTAAAAAATATGCCTTTGAAATGTGACTCTTGTTGTAACTGTTCTCAATCCGTGCATATTTAAGACCTATTATTATTTACATGTGACAAGTGGTGCGAGCATTCATTACATAGTAGAAACTAGTCTTCCTCTATTGAAGATATTGTAATCCATTATAGACTCCATCCATGTCCTATGAATGCATCTTCACATAGGTGATGAACATTGAACACCCTCTCTCTTTCTCTACCTTTATCTCACTACCACTCTCTTACTACATGTCTCTCTCTCCCCCTCTCTCTCTTGAATAACTAGATGGCTAGCTTGGCCTTCTCTATCTATCTCTAATAATGGATATAAATCTCCTTGTAGTTATGCCATATGAGAGTAGATGGAGGTGTGATGTGCCCAAAATTATTGTTAATTTAAGCACTCAACTAAAAACTAAAATAAATTCTTTTTAATTATAAGGATTTTAGGTTGATCCTTAGGGAAATAAGAAAGATGAAAGCATTATTTTAACGTAGAAAGAGTGAAGAGATAGGAATCATATAGTAGTTTTTGTAAATTATGAATGCCATAGGTATCTAACTCCAAAAATTAGAAAAAATATCTGAAAATATAGATAACTAGCTCTAATTTAGTATTCATAAAAACTATCTTGTAATTCAATTTTTTAATCGAAAAATATAGATAATGTGTAAGTATCCGATACTAAACTTATTTTAAAATTGTAAAAAATATATAGAAGATAAGAAACTAATTATGTTATATTTTTCTTAAAAATATTAACCTAATTTCATGTGGCACTCATGAGATCAGATTCATTCCAAGAAAAGGTTAAAGAGACAAAAAATAGGAAACGATTCTTGTAAAATCTAAATTCTTATTCTAAACACTTTCTAAAATCATGAAAAAACTATAGAAGATAAGAAAGTAATTATAATACATTTTTTCAAAAGATATTAACTTGATTTCATGTGGCACTCATGAAATCAGATTTGATCCAAGGAAAGGTCGAACCAAGAAATTCATAAAATGATTTCCAAAGATGTGCATGATGATTCTGTCTTCAAATCACCAAAACATAATCTTTTGACAAGAAAAATATTCATTATATGTTTAAGGAAGTAAGGTATTCAAGAAAAATCCTAAATCTAAAAGAAATTGCAAGATTGGATACATATCTCTTTTGCTTACCTAGAAAATAATTTTCAATGATATGCTTGATGATTTGTCATAAAATTACCAAAACATGATTTTTTGAAGAAATAAAATATTTATCAGATTTGTAAGAAAGTAAGGTATCCAAGAAAAATCATTAATCTGAAAGAAACTAAACAAGTTGATATAGATCTCTTTTCCTTTACCTTAGTGTCACTACCAAGACATGAAAAATCAGAGATAAAGAAGAATAACTCACTAGAAATTAAATGAAATGTCATCTATCAAATAATACTTGTCAACTAAAAAATAAAAGAGGTTCTAGTAAGTTGAGAAATGAGAGAGAAAGGTGAAGAAATCGTACTTGCAACTCTAAGACTTCAATTGTCTATCACCTAGTGGCCACCACCTATTCGCCCATGAAAGAAAAGGTTTCCTTTCATTTGCGCTCTCCAAAGTTTATATACACACATTCTTTGGGCGTTCTTTCTCCATCCTTTGTGTGGCCTAGTTAAGGTTAATCTTTTGGGTGTTGTTCAATTTTTTTATGCCCCAATCTGCCCTTTCTCATATTTGTGATATTTGAACTTTAACATTTTATCTTAATTCTTCTCACTTTGGAAAATCTATATAAATTAATCTCTTTAGAATAAGATTTTAAAATTTTAAACCCATGCTCTTGATAAATTGAGATATATTTTCAAGGTGATAAACCTTGGAAAAAGGTTATAAAATGTTAGTAATTAAATCCATAAATACATAATGTAGATATAGTTAGCTTTAGAGTCATTTATACATATCTCTTGACCTTTGCTCGAATATGATGAGATATAGTAATTCATACTTATTATGACTCATTAATGTAAAAATCATATATATAATTAATTAAATTTTAATGAGAATTAAATATTTATTCAGATGAAAGGAAGAGGGATGGAAATATTGAGAGCGAACGAGTGTATATGTGTGTGTCAGAGAGAGAAAGAAAGAGAGAGATAGAGTTGTGGAATGTGGTGTAAAGTGGATGAATGATAAGTCTTTATTATCATGAGTTAATAATATATTTTAACTCTTAACTCATGATAAATAGACTTATATTTATGTTAAAGTAAGAAAAAAGATTTTTAGTTGGTTAATGTAATTTTTTGACTAATTATGTGATTTTATAATTTTTATAATCATATTTTTGAAATAAAATAAAGAGAAATAAAATAAAATAAAAAATAGATAAAAAAAGAAGGGGACCTACCAATTAGTTGGGCCTGCAAGTAGGTTAGAAGCATAGTCAAAGGACCCGTTGGTTAACTAAGCTTGCAAGTGGGTTAAAAGCACAATTATGTAGAGCCACAAGAAGGGAGCTTGAGTGGCTAACGATCAATTGGGGGCACATGTGCATCACTACCTTTTCATATCATTAGTGGTCAGCCAAGCATGGGGGAAGGAGTAGTAGTACATACATGAAATACTACATTAAAGATAAGAAGAGGTATTACTATATATGTCTCAAAACTCATAAAATAGTCAATGTGAAACTAAACCTGTGTTAGTACTCGCTGAAAAGTTTTCATTATTTTAATACTTAAAATACTTTTAGTTTATAAGAAATAAACACCTTTAGGACGTCACTAAGGGTATATAGGTAATTCACATTATCTTTTTCATGCAATTGAGCAACTAGTGAAAGTTTGAATTTCACTAGAGTTAAAACTTATGTTTTTCTTTAATCAAATCATAATTTTCCTATAGTACTAGCCAACAATTAAGTTGTCATAATCACTCAATCATAAACGAAAATGTCATCAACGTGATTCGTAAAGTATCATTCTCAATTATTGAATAATTATGGATAAAAAAATCATAAATTTATTGAAAAAATCATTTCTGATTGATTGACGAATGAGTCATCATCAAGAAGAAGACGATCGATTGGGAGACAAGTCACCACCCCATCAAAGCATACTAGATATGATGAAGAGCCTCTTCTTGTTACACAGACTTAAGGATGAAGCTCCTTAAGACATATCTCACCTCTATTCAACTTATGTCCGTCATGTGATAGTCATCAGAGATGATTTGTCGGTCTATTTTATTGATTTCTAGACTTCGCAAGAAGATTTAGAGATTACCCATGTTGTTTATGTCCAATGAGAGCTTTTGAGACTATGTACATCCCACGATACTTTTTTCAAACCCATATAATTTTAATGATTACTACCACAAAGTAGAAACTATGTATTTCTTAAACTTAATTTTTATTTAAAATTTTAACAATTTACTTATTCAATTATGATTCTTCTCGCTTTTACAAATCTTAATTTGATCAATTAAATTATCTATAATTATCTATGTAAGAATCATCAAATGAAATTTTATTTCCACCAGAATCATAGTTGTCAAGATGTTGATGTTATCCTAATGTTCGCACTTGAATTTTATTTTTTCATGAATTTGTAAATATATTTTATCTTCACTGTTTAGACTAATAATAATAATAAATTTATTTTTTGAAAAGAAAATCTTACCAAATATTGTCTTATATCCCTATGATCAATATGGAAAATTTCTACTATTTTTGGAATCTTTTAGAAAATTATAATTAATTTATTTGTGATAATATATTTTTTAAATATAAAAATTAGTATTTTCTAGTTTTATAAATTTAAAATTTAGATGATTTATTATACAATCATTAAGTCATGTTAATGTACTTTGTGGGCTTACAAGAAATCAAGAGCGAGAGAGAGAGATATAGAGAGAGCTTATAGGCTTAACTAGAACCTGGAAAAGTTTGGTTACGTGGTGGTGTTTTTGTTCGGTCCACCTTATGGCATATGCTTTCTCGCCAACAAACCCTACAAGTACATTAAAAGTTGAGAACTGTCAAAGCCCTTATTTGTTTCTCTTTCCTATCCCCTTATCTCCTTCCCTCTCTCTGAGTTTAAGGCTTCATACTCCCTTGCAATCCCCCCCTTTAGGGGTCATCTTCTCTCTCTCAACTCCTTGTGATAGTCACTTCTTTGCAACTTCCCTAAGCCGTCATGGTAGTTCCCTTGCCATTGACCACGTATGATAGAAGGACTTATAGCACCAGCTATCATCGACATTAGTAGTTGACAAGAAGCTAGTAGGCGTCCTCACCCCTTGTTTGAGAAGGTCACAATGTGGTATACGCATTGCCCTCTCTCTCTGTCTCTCTCTCTCTCTCTCTCTCGCTCTTGCTCTTTCTCTTTGTGCCTCTAGGTGGAGGGGAGTGGCCAATAAGCCTTCTTGTTCGACAGAATTTGACAACATTATTTGATTTCCTCATAAAATCCTCCCCCCACCCAATTCATAGTGAAATCTTGATGTTAGATGGCTCTACTTAA